AAGTATAATGATGTACACCTGAAATTTTTACAATGTTATAAACCAATGTTACTGCAATAAACAAAAAATTAAAAATATATATATATAATTTTTATTTTAATAACAGCAATACTGTTGTCCTTCTTCTTGTCTATGATTTGGAAGAGTGAGATGTTTTGATAGCAGAATCAATCTTTCATTTCAGTTATACATTTTTAATGATTTTTTAAATATAGAAATTTCTTATTAATCTAAAGGACTAATTAATGAAATGGCAAATGCTGACAACATAACAGGATTTAAGATACATGCAAATCTATTATGTCACAAAATATATCTAGACAATCACAACCCAAGTTCTGTTACCAGTTCTACATTTAATCTCCTTTAAATAGGAAAAAATAGAAAACATTTAGAAAGGATAGAGAAATCAGCAAATTGTTTGCCCATTCTTCTCTTTAAAGAAAACTAAAGCAAAACATAAACAAACAAAAAAACTGAAAACATGAGAATCGAGGCTACTAATGATAACAGCAAACATTTATGTGTTTATTATGAACCAAGCTTGATGCTAAGAAGTCATTGACTTACATTACTTATTTAATTCTTGCTACAGTCTAGAGTTACCATGATTATTCCTATTTTACAGTTGATAGCTCTGAGGTTTAGAGAACATAAGTGCCTTTCCTAAAGTTAAACAGTCAGTAAATGGTTGAACCAGAGATCTATTAAGTCTATAGCCGATACTTAACCACGATACTATATTGTTACTCACACACTAAAATAACCCTGAGTAATTCTTAATGCCCTAAATACCGTCTTTGGTGGCGAAACAAAATAAAATGATTTTATTTTTCCTTCCCCAATACACATATAATACTGAAGAAAATGCAAATCATTAAATGATTAATGAAACTGAAGAGTTATTGTTCCAAACTTGTAAAAGAACAGCAGCCCTGACTACAGCCCAGCCAGGAACGACAGTTCAACCTCAGACAGGGTCAAGGACGGTACCTTTGCCGTGGCATCCTCTGGGTCACCTCCCTTGGAAGCTAGCAGCATGAGTCGCAGGACCAGGGTTATGCTGAGAGGGAAGTGTCCTCTCAGTTCAGGAACACCGGATGTGATGAGTCTTTTTATTTTGGGCAATGGAATATCAAAGAAATATACATCTCCCAGCAAGTCTTGACCTCGTCTTCCAGCACGTCCAGACATCTTGAAAGAGAAGAGAATCACAAAGTAAAACTTTCCTAAATAATTTCCTATGTAGTTAAACAATTTATGACTACATTTGTCATCTGGATTGGCTAAAGTTAATTGTGCATGAAGTCCTGAAACTAATCTGTGCTAATGCGGCACTTAGGAAATTCAGTGCAGTTGGGGTAAAACAGAATATGAGGCATTTATCATTAACAGGTGGTCATTTCATGCAAACAACTGAACTAGGCTTGTAAGATGATATGTAAAAGAAATTAAAACATGGACCCTGCACTCAAGGAGCTTACAGTCCATTTTCTGTCTCTCTCACTCCCTCTCTTGCTACCACACACTCACCCACAGAGAGAGAGAAATGAAGAGAACTAGAGACTACAAGTAGAGTTAAAGACAATGAAATAAAAACAATATGACTAAGCTCCTTGAGATACAAATCGAGTAAATTCACTGAATGAGACGTTACGAAATGACTTCTTGGAAGAAGGATGTCAATAACCAGCTCTTTACAGAAGAAATAACAGTCATTTACTGAATGCTTAGTATGTGCTAGGCCCTTTATATAAATTATTTTAGGCAGTCCTTATAACAACCCTATGAGGTAGATAGTATCGTTATCCTAACCATTTAAAGAGGTGGAAACTGAGTACAGACAACCTAAGTAGCTTATCCACAGTCCATCAACTGAGAAGTAGCAAGATTCCATCCCGGACATTTTCATTACCAAATTCATGGTCCCCAGAACTATATTAGCCTGCCTCCAGAATCCTAAAAATTAAATTCCTGACGCTCACATGGTAGAACATCTGTGCAAGGAATAATAGTAGCAAAGAGGGCAAGAAGCCGGAGATGAGTAAAATGATTGAAAATAGTAAGGAGATTCAATTGGTTAGGACAAATGGTCATGAGAGTACGAAGGTGGACATTTAGAGAGGTAAACAGAGAAAGGGAACTTGTTGATAAAGGGCTTGACTATTGGCTGACATTGATAAATTTGATCCTAGGGTAGAATTAATTACCAAATATTCCTGAGCAGGAAAATCACATGAAGAAAAACTATGCTGTCAGTCTTCTGCAGGACAGAATAGAGTATGGGGAAATGAGAATCAGGGAAAATGTTATAATAATCCAGGGAAAAGAATGAAGGAGGGATATTGGCTATAGAAATCCTGAGACAGAAATCTGAGAGACCACCACATGAGAGCAATTGTATGGTCTTTGTAACAGACTGAGTATCAAGAGCAAAGGAGAGAGAAGCATTCAAGTTAACACCAGAGAGGAAAAATGTGTGCATGGTGAATGAATAAGGGAATGTTTATCGAGCACCTTCAATGTGTCTCTTTCCTACTTCACTTAATCCTTACAAATACTGTGGGGTAGTGATTATCACCCCATTCTGGAGATAGGAAAGGAGAACCCAGAAATTTGGTTACCTCACCCTAGGTCACACATCTGGTTAGCAACAATCACACAACCCTAAGTTCACATGCCTTTTTGTTATAATGTTTTCCATTATAACTGCAACTGAAAATGACAGGCTGGTATAGATGGATGCTGAGGTGTACACATTGTAGAAGAAACGATCAGTTCCACAACACCTTGAGCCTCTCTGTGTTATCCCCATGATATACGCGATTAGAGATACAAATTCCCTCATAGAATTTATAAGAGTAAATAACAGAAACGGTCAAAGAACCAAAGCAATCACAGTTCTGTAAAGGTAGGATTATCAAAGACTTCAAAGAAAAAAATAAGGAGAGTTTGATTAGAACCTTGAAGAGGGGCTATGATTTCAATAGGAGGAGAGAAGAAAGACTCTAAGAGGAAGTGGCAGAACAAAGATGCAGATCAACAAAGCACGGTAGAAATTAGAAGCCAATGACTGAAAAAACATGTGCCAGAGTGTTCACACTAGGAAAGAAAATGAGATAAATCTAAAATACACACAGTGGTCAGGATGCAAAGCGCCCTACTAATGACAGCTAACATTTATTGAGTACTTACTATGGGGCAGGCACAGTTCTGAGTGCTGTGCATTTTTCAGTTAGTCCCATAACAACCTCATGAGACACAAATTATTACTGTCACCATTTCTCAGATGAAGAAATCGATGCCCCCAGAGGCTAACTTTCCCAAGAGTGCACAGCTAATAAATAGTAAAGCAAGGATTTAAGCTGAGGGAATCTAGGACCAGATCACACTCTCTTAATCATTACCCACACTACCTCAGGTGTTCCATGAGCATCCCAGGGCAGAGGAATCTGAAGCAAGGCTTGAGCCAGGCCACTGGTGGGATGGCACAACAATCCCAGCAAGAGAGGGACAGGGCAATAGGTTGGTCTGAATATAGGCAGAACCAAGGCAACACTGATGTGGTGGTGAAGAAGCCAGAGAAACGAAATCAAGAGACTGTGATAGCAATAAGGCCATCCTTATTGCTAACTAAGCAATGATAACTAAAGCAACCCCAGGCTTTTGCCAAGAATGAGACCTTTGGAGACATTGGGAGGTGGTAAATGCATTTTTATTTGTGGGAGGGAAGTGAATCATTGGGGCCCAGAGGTCAGACCGAGAAAGCAGCCTACTCAGTGGCTCCCAATGATCCCAACAATCACAACCTCGTATATGCACAATATTGTATAATTCCCTCTCCTTGAATGTTGAAGAAAAGGAGTTTCTTACAGGGAATGCCAAGGTAACAAGTATTCCCTTTACTCTACATACAATAAAGTCCTGTGGGGAGTTGAGTGACATGAGGAAGACACCCAGGAGCAGATCCTAGCACATATTAGACACGTAATAAGCGCCATGTGAATGAAGGAATAAACGAATTTAAAAAAGAACAGAAAAGAAAATAGAAAGGCCAAAGAAGAAAATGACATGCTAAGCAGAAAATCCATAACATTTTTTTCAATTAATACAGTAAAACGTATTATTCGTTTTAAAAGGCTATTAAAGAATACACAGTTCAGGGGCCGGCCCCGTGGCTTGGTGGTTGAGTGAGCGCGCTCCACTGCTGGCGACCCGGGTTCGGATCCCGGGCTCCCACCGACGCGCTGCTTCTCCGGCCATGCTGAGGCCGCGTCCCACATACAGCAACTAGAAGGATGTGCAGCTGTGACACGCAACTATCTACTGGGGCTTTGGGGGGAAAAATAAATAAATAAAATCTTTAAAAAAAAAAAAGAATACACAGTTCAGTCTATGTTACCTGCTACACTAGGAAAAAAGCACATTCCCATGGGACTAGATTCCACCACAAAAGAAAGCACTAAAAGAATGAGCCCGCAGGAAAGAAGCAGTACAGCTTCAAACCAGACGTTCAAAGAGGTCTAGACAAGGAATAAGATTTGGATACCACTGAACAAAGGAACCGGAATCAGCTCCTTGGCAACCAGCCTCGGGACAAGATGCCAGGAAGGTGGCTTCTCAGATATTCCCTTTGGCCTGTGTGCACAACTGGATTATCTATTAGCATGCATATTTCTAAATAATAACTCTCTTGTACAGTGAGAACAGAAATCCATAGGTGGGTGTTCTTTCTTTCAAACTTCCCTTTAAATATAAAACAGAGTGAATGTTTACTCCAAACTGAAAGACTTGTCAAAGTATTGACAGGAAGTCAAAATATTGACTCAGCTAAAACTAAGACTGTAGATGTAGGACCATGATGAAATTGAACTGTGTTTGAAATATCTTTGGTATAATTAATGTTGTGTTCTCAAATGCAAGCAATAGAATTAACACTTTCTGCTCATGGTTATGCGGCACATTCTTAGAGAGACACTGTAAAAAATTTAGAAATGTGATCCAAGTTTTCTGATTTAACTGATTTCTCCAGAGTCAACCTGACAGTTGGGAAGACTAGCTGGTGCGTAAATTCAAGGTGCACATTCCCAGAAAGTTCTGCCACTTGACTCTCCAGAAACAAACAAAATTCATTAGGGAAGAAAAGGCATTTTCTCTCCTCTAAGAGATAATGCCAAGTCATCAGGGTAGGATAACAAAACAATTTCATTCATATGAAGGTCCACAGTAAATGCATGATGTTCGATTTCTTCCAGGAAAGAGATGTTGGTAAGGATGAGGAAAAAGGGGATTTGAATTCTAAAGGAAACAGGAGTCCCTTAAGAGAAACTTCACTCACTGCTCAGAAACAGCAAGGGTGGAAAATTCCAGCCCAGCGGCTGGTCTTACTGGTTTTCAGCTCAAAAACCACATGGCAAAAGCTGATCTTGTTCACAGCCACGCTTGAGAAAAGGGCAACGTGGCTTTTAAAGCTTAAACAGCAATATCCTAAAAGCTCATGAAATGGATATCAACTCCTTTTCTCTGTAAAATCACAATCTCCACATTCTAAACTGGGAGAGTTAACATGATCTATACTTAAATGAGAAAAGAGAAAAATGTCAAGAAGAAGAAAAATTTCTATTTTGAGACTTTGTAAATATCTTCGTCTTTTATTTTTTGCAGCGTGTGGAGAAGAGGTAGTTTTTCTTTCCCTTCCGACTTGCAACATATGATATCACATTTCCGTGTCATGAGGGAAACGAGAAGATGCTCAAGTACATCATCTTTGTCTACTTGTCTCTGTATGTCTGTTAAGTGACCCTTCTCTTCTATTTTTCTTTCTCTCACCCTCACTCTCGTTTTTCTTTTATCTCTCTTTCCTCCCTTGCCTTATAATATAGAACATCGTTTTATTCTTGATTTTTGAAAAGTTTATTAGAGATCTTTCGGTAACATCTCTCTCCCCAGAAATTCCACCAAAATTATAATAAAGGGATTTTTTTTTAAACATAAACCCACAACAACAGGGTGAATGGCAACGAAATTTTGGAATTTGGAAAGTAGATGGTAAACGACCCCAAAATACTCAATACTAAACTTGCAGTAAGAAAGTCAAAATATACCTGCTTTAAATGACAGAATTCCCAAAAGACATAGAAATTGATGATACCAAGTGCCACACACAGAAAAAGACATATTAAAGGAAACGGATGATGCAAGAAATTTCAGAACATTTTACATACTCCCAGGAAAATAAAATAAAGCGGTACTATGAAGGATCAAGAATCAGGGCCGGCCCCGTGGCTTAGCGGTTAAGTGTGCGCGCTCCGCTACTGGCGGCCCGAGGTTCGATCCCGGGCGCGCAACCACACACCGCTTCTCCGGCCATGCTGAGGCCGTGTCCCACATACAGCAACTAGAAGGATGTGCAACTATGACATACGACTATCTACTGGGGCTTTGGGGGAAAAAAAGGAGGAGGATTGGCAATGGATGTTAGCTCAGAGCCAGTCTTCCTCAGCAAAAAGAGGAGGATTGGCATGGATGTTAGCTCACGGCTGATCTTCCTCATACAAAAAAAAAAAAAAAGAATCAGAATAGCTTTATATTTCTCAAGACTGAAAACTACACTAAGATTATTAAGTCACTGAACATTAACTGTGAGAAAATAGTGAAGCAGATAAATCAAATGGCATGAAGTAACAAGACACGAGGGAACTGTGTTCAAAATCACTACGTCACATAGAAAGTAAAAGGAAGAACAGAAACTATAGCCTGTTAGCAGATAAAAATGCCACAGGGTTCGTTATCTCACACACGTCTTTCAGCAGTGGGAGTAAGAGAATTACCTGTCTATAATTTAAAGCATTCAGGTGGACGGAGTCTTGAGCAAACACAACAGATTTACACGGCATGTGGATCCCCAAGGCAAGCGTTCCAGTAGCCGTCACTGCCTACAGAAATAAGAGTTAATTCAAAATAGAGCACATCTACAAGGACACAAGATATATTTTCTGCTCCTGTCACTGAAAAGCTCTTGAACTTTAACTAAACCACATGTTATTAATGTCCACGTACTAGCCACATGGTTCTTCTTACTAGTCCCTGAATATCCAAAGCACACTGCTGCTGCAGGCTCTAACTGTTGCTGTTTGCTCCGCCTAAAATGGCTTCCCTCAAATCTTCATTTGCAGGCTCTTTCTGATCTCTGCAAAAATGTCCAAAAGGACTTCTCGGACCACCGTTTCTAAAATAACCATGTTTACTTGTTCCTCCTAGACCGTAAGTATCGTGGGCACCTAGTAGACGCACAATAAATGTGCATTCGATAAATGCATGAAGGAATAAAATACTCACATACAACTTTCCTGAAGATGGGGTAATAATACTTTTCCTAACACACTCTGGACAATCATCTTACCCTATCCTCATGCTTTGTTTTTGGAGGTTTTATCTACACAGTGTCAAAAGTTCATGAAAAATGGAACTAAAATCAAAGAATTACTTCAGTAGAAATTAGTAAAAGTTTATTGTGCACACACCAAAAAGACAGTTTGCAAACCAGTAGCACTCAAACCAAAACATGGAGGGAGGCTCAGAGGTATATTACCATAAAGCAGCTCATTTAGTGTGAAGGCAGAGAGTGTTTATTCTTCACTGTGATTGGTTACAATATTAGAATTTTCTTAAATGTGGTTACCTCATATCAATTTAGGGGAACTATTTAAGTTTCACTTATGATTTCCAAAGGCATAAGCAAGAAATGACCCAGATCAAGTTAACCTCACTCGTCTTGCAAACTAAGCTAAATTAAGCTTTGCTTGTATGACTAACTGGTTTTGTCTGCTCAAGGAATTTTCAAGTCTGGTCTCCGCTAGCGTGTGACAGATAACTTATCTAAGCAATTGAAGCATAATAAAGTTACATTTTTTCCCTTATTTACTTTCCTAACAGTCTATGTACCCACTCATCTATTTAATGCTGGGTACATACAATTGTCTCTCTTCCTCTTAAATACATTGATATTAATCCATGTGATAATTATTTTAATTATTTAGTGATATAGAGAAAACAAAAATACTTTCTAATTGATATTTATAAACACATCTAAATTCAACCAATTATTTGTTCACTTTAAAAAGTTCATCAAGGGGCTGGCCCAGTGGCACAGCGGTTGGGTGCGCATGCTCCACTTTGGTGGCCCAGGGTTCACAGGTTCAGATGCCGGACACGCACCGACACACTGCTTGTCAGGCCATGCTGTGGTGGCGTCCCATATAAAGTAGAGGAAGATGGGCATGGATGTTGGCCCAGGGCCAGTCTTCCTTGGCAAAAGGAGGAGGATTAGCATTGGATGTTAGCTCAGGGCTGATCTTCCTCACCAAAAAAAATAAAGTTCATCAATAAGAAAAAAGACAGAAAGACTCAAATCAGTAAAATTTAGCATTTAATTCTAATGAGTACCATGTTTAAAATTGTTCTGTGTAGCAAAGCTATCACAATTTCCAGAATAACAATTTTATAATAGTCTGGCTATTCATTCATTCTTTCATTAACTTTTATTGAGCAACTACTATGTGACAAGTTCTATAATACTGGGTGTGATGAGTAAAATAGGTGTGACCCTTGCCCTCAATTAATAATCTTTATAAAAACTCTTTTCTCTTGTTCTTGCCCTTTGAAACGACCAATAAATTGTATATTTATATACTTTGTATAAACTGTATATATTGTATACATGCACGCACAGTCACACACACACATACGTATACACATACTAAAAGGAAAACTGAGCAGAGTCATTCCAAATATTTTTAGTTTTGATAAATAGCAAGTAATAACCTTTATTATGATATACTCCTCACTATTTTTTTCTTAAGATTACAAAGATAAATATCCTGAATAGCAGAGTGACTACCTTTCTACACAACCTTCACATACAGACACACACATATGCGTGTGCATGCAGGCAATAAAGCTGGTGTCTGTTTCCACAAATCACTCAAAAAGAAAATTAACTGAGCAATCATATGAACATTCTTGGTCAATTTATGGAGACTATCCCCACCTTAAACCAGAATGCTGCCTCCTTCGGCGGCACACTATTAAGAGGTTAACAAGTGTTTGATTATGAGCCAACTAAGATGTCCTTACCCTTTTCCAAGTTCATTTAGAGATACCACACCTATAAACTCTATCTAGACCATGTTAGTCTAGGACAAGCTTTTTTCCAATTCCTGGAAAAGAGATGTCTTCCTCTTAGCTGACCTGAGGTGTGACATTAGAAACAGGTCTGACTAAAAGTATATCTTAAATATCCTCAGGAAATCTGTAGGGCAAAATAAAAAAGTACGTCCTAGGCACTATGTGTTTAAAAAAAAGTAGAATGTTTTGCCTAAATTACCATAGCTATAATATTTCATTATAGATGTTGTTTTTTAGTATATAAATACTTTTAAACTCCGCTAATAAACGAAACAGATGGGGAAGCCATCAAGTGAGTTGTAAGAAAATGACGCTTTGGTTAGATGAGATAAACTGGTATAATTTTTCACATTTCACTGCTACTCAACATCATGTATGTATAATTTTATTTTTTAAATGTAAAAAAATCACCTACCCTGATAAACCCTTCCACGAAAAGTATCTCAACGAACTCTCTTTCTTTAAAATACATGGAATCGTGATGATATCCAATACCCCTTTGTGCCAAAGCCTTCAGTTCTTCGCCTTTTCTTGTTAACTGTACTCGCTTAAACACCACTTCCAAAGTCTAAAACAAGAAAGAAGTGTAGAACAATTGATAATATATTTTATTTAATTTTAACTTCAATCAGAATCACAGGGTATTTTCATGAACTTAGCATTTCTACCTTGCACAAAGTGAGGCTACTCTTTGACACTGACCCTATATAAGGATAGGTTATAGTTTATGACTCCAGAAACAATCTTCCCATTTTTTTCAACAGTCTGTCTCAGAGAAGAGATAGTCATAAACCAAAGGGAGATACGTGCTGTTTGTAAATAAGATGTCCGGGACAGGTGAGTGTATGATCTGCTGGCGCCAGAAAGAGGGAGACCAGTTCTCTACTGAAACCTTCGGAGCCCTCCCCAGGCAGAGAGAGGCTCCCCCAAGGCAAAGTGGTTCCCTATCCTAGATGATCAGAGAATTCTTACTTCCCACTGTGAATCACTCACTACTTAGACTCAAAGCTTTAAAAATATCCATACTATCACAATCCTACTTCTAGGAATTTATCCTAAGGAGAAAATCCAGCAGTTGGCCAAAACGTCAAAGGGAAACACTGCTTATAAGAACAAGAAAAAATAACGAAAATAACCTATGCAGCCAAGGGTCACAAGACTGGTTAAAGAAATTATAGTCATCCATATCAATACACACTATAAAGGTATTAAAATAATAATGTAGCTCTATTGTTGTTAATAAGAAATGAATAGCTAAGTGAGGAAAGCAGGTTACAGACTAATTTATACAATATGATCCTATCTTATTAATAAATAAACATATGGAATGTCTAATTTGGGTGTGGGTGTTTTTGTATGTCTCCAGAGGAAAATAATCTAGGACAGTGAATATCTCTGAGCTGTGACATTGTTCTTATTTTTGTCATTTTGTATTTTCAACTATTTCAGAAATGAACATAAATTACTTACATAAGAAAAAAATTGTTTAAATGTCATACCATATTTGGATATTTCAGTATCTGTTTAGTGGAATGCCTTGGATGTCAGACAGAAGGTCTCTGAGATTGGGACATTCTGTAGATATTATTTAAAATGTATTGTACTGCACATACCCAAATATGACCAGCAGTAAAATACAGCATGTGGGATTGAATTCTAGAATCAGGCCATGTAGTAATCCCGGAGAGTAGAGTGAAATAAAAGAAGAGGCTGACACTTCCACAATCAAACTACTAAGCAAGAAGAAATCACCTATAGAAATTTAGTACATCAAATTTGGACAATCATTGCAAACCAAACAAAATAACACACAGAGATAATAATATTTCAAAGATATTACACAAACATGTCATTTCTAATAGAGATTTTACTTAGTGTCCAAAGATAATAAACTAAACAATCACTATAATAAAAAGTCATGACTGACACATTATTATACTGAGCCAGTTTCTATGCTGACCTCGGTGTGCAGTGCATTGACATCAGCATACGAGCAGTCCTCAGGGATTTTCAGAAACTCCTTCAAATTATTCAGGAAATTAATATATTCAGCTCCATATGTTAGTTTCTTTTCCAACTTCTTGGCCTTTTCCTTGTCTTTTTCAAAGCTGTTATTTTAAAAAAAATAATAAACTTTTAAGTAAGGAAAGTTCATATTCACCTACCACAAGAAGCCTAAGACTTCCCAGATCACCCTTCATCGCCCAGATGCTGAGTTTTACGTGCAGCACTACCAATCCTGATTTAAATCTCCTTTCTTACATGTACTTCCATGTTTGCTCTAGAAGCAATGGGCGCTCATCAGCAAAATCCACTATATCCTCCTCCTTTTCTCTGCATGATCCCTTCTCCTTCTTGCTATTGTTCTTCTCAGAAGAATTGCAGCTCTCCAGAAAAGCAAGGGGCGAGCATGGCACAGTCAAAAATGAGTTGGCACATTCCCTTGGCTCCACTGACTCCTGGTCTCATGGGGAGGGACCCAGCCAGAGAAACAAGCCAGAGAAGGGCACTTTAAATCTCCACTCTGGGAGCAGAGACCCTTCTTGACTGGGCCTCAGGGGCTGATGATAGCACTAAATACCCTTTATTTTCATAGTGCATGTTGTTCACTACATATCCGACTTGAAATGTTGTTCCCAGTCCTGAAAAAGTTCTGACCAAAGAGAATCAGTAACTGAGAAGAGCTATAGCTCCAAGACCTCTCTCTGAGGTCCCTTCCCTTCCCAGGCGTCTGGGAAAATCTGCACAACAAACAGAAAGAAGATGCAATCGGTGGTGGGATCAAGAGACTCTGCTATTGTCTTTGGGAAATATCTAAAATTAGGGAAGCTGTGGAAGCTGTTTCAATATTGAGGGAAGATTCGATCATTCTTTCAACAAGTATTTATGAAGCAATGTGCCAGGCATTTGCTGGCACTGGGAATACAAAAAGGAAAATGCACAGTTCTTGTAGGGGAACTGACCATCTAGGGAAAAGCAAGATATACAGATAACTGTTATAACTGCTTTCATGATTCAAAGTAGAGTGGGAATAAAAGAAAAAGGGCAATAAGCCTACCTGAGAAATCATTATAAATTCAGAGAGAAGATAGACTTTGAACTGGAAAAAAAAATGAGTACAAGATGTATGAGCTAACAGAAAGGAAGGCCCTCCGGGTATAGATTCAGGTGGTGGAGAGCATGTCACGAGTGGAGAACTGGAAAAGACTGAGTCTTAGCAGAGAGGGGTAGCAGGAAATGACACCACAGATGGCAGGGACCAAATCATGAAGAGCCTTGCATACAATGCTAAAAGCCTCTCTTTATCAACATTACTAGGCGATTAAGAAAGAAAAAGCTTGGGGCCAGCCCGGTGGCGTAGTGGTTAAGTTCACATGCTCTCTGCTTCGGCAGCCCGGGGTTTGCAGGCTCAGATCCCAGGTGTGGACCTACACACCGCTTATCAAGCCATGCTGTGGCAGGCGTCCCACATATAAAGTAGAGGAAGATGGGCACAGATGTTAGCCCAGGGCCAATCTTCCTCAGCAATAAGAGGAAGACTGGCAACAGATGTTAGCTCAGGGCTAATCTTCCTCACAAAAAAAGAAAGAAAGAAAAACCTTGTGTGTGGGATAATTTGATTCAATTTGCACATTAGAACGTTCACATCAGCAACTGTGTGTCAGTAATATGGGAGGGGGTGAACCCGGCACGGGAAATCACACGGGAAAGCCTCTACAAGAGCCCAGAGAGGAGATGCCAAAGGCCTGAACTGGGGCAGAGTTAGAGAGTAAAGATGGAGAGGATGGCAAGGAGAGAAGAAACATTTGGTCCATAGAACAGTCAGAATTAATCAGACATTGGGAACAAGGAAGAGTAATCACCACAGTGAAGTGCTGCCCCAAGCATACAATTGGTATGGCAGGTCATTCTATAGGCCTTTCTTTGCTCACCCACTGTGATATTGCATCACGGAAACCTCCACATTGTGACCACAGGGGACAAATGTAGGCTATGGTCAGGTCGGCTGAGGGTCTCCTAAGAGACATTGTTCACACGTGTTTGGAAAAGATGCGATAGTTTTTTGAGAGCTGAATTGACATTGTCAGGTCAGATAATCTAGCTAGGCTTGCAGAGTCTGTCCTACCCCTCCTGATTCCTAAATGAACCCTATCTATACACAACTAAGAGGCATAAGGTTATGGCACCTTAACTTCCTCCCATCCTCCCATCCAGATTTACTCTATCAACCAATAACAAGAACCTCTCTGTGGCCCAGGTCTGTATACATTTCTAATGGTTTCCTACGAAGTATTTTAAGCCCTTAATGGCCAATTTGTTTAAGTAAATACTTACGTTTTCTTTAGTTTCTTCATTTTATTTTCAGCTTCGTTAAGTTTTTTATTTATGTCATGGACATTGCTACAACATTGGTCAATTTGGGGACAGCTTTTTCTCTCTGACTTCTCCAGAAAAGTGCACACGCTTCTAGCTCTTTCTTCCACATCACCACTCTTAAAACTTGAAACAAATGAAAAGAATGCCTTGAAAAGATTATTTTTCCATTCAGGTCATATTTCCATGAACCACTATCATATAGCTGTTGGGAAAATGTTTTGGCTGAATGTATCTAACAGCCACTACCACTGTACTCATTATAGGTTGGGTCCACCCAAGAAATTTTTTCAACATTACTGGTGAGGCCATGGACTTACTACCATGTTCAGAATGCAAGCTTTGAAAAGGAATGTTGTTTAGCTGATAAAGATTAAATCAGTGCATTGGAGAAACAAAGACTAGGAAAGTTATATGTCAATTACATCTCAATAAAAATAAAAAAGACTAGGAAAGTCACAGTCTAATGTACGTGATAAGAAGATTTGGTATATAAACAAGGCAAAAATAATAATAGCAAACAATTACAAAGTACTTACCAAGTTCCAAGCACTGTTCTATGTGGCTTAAATGTATTAATGCATTTAATCCCCACTATGACCTTATGAGGAAGGTACTATTATTATCTCTGTTTTGCAGATGAGGAAATAGATTCCAAAGGAAATTTTAAAACTTATCCAAGATCACATAGCCTAGTAAATGGTTGATTTAGGATTAGAACTCAGGCAAATCAACTCCAGAGGCCATTTTTTTAATAACAATGCTAAATTTGCCTCCCTGTTCACAGTAATACAAGCTAATGTGCAATATCTATAAACTACTGGTTGCAAATGATATCCTATATGATGTCATTAAATGGTTTCATCCTACTGCTTTAAAGCAAACAAACCAACCAACCAAGGTCACCTAGAAATACTTTCTCTTCTTCAATCCTTCTGATAATGTTTGCCCAAATCCAGTGTAAAAGAAGGTCTAGTAGCTGAACCTGAACCAATCACATTTTCAACTACTGAGTTAAGCATTTTACAAAAAGTATTTCCTTTAGTTCATACCCCAACCCAATGAATTAGTTATTACTATCTCCATTTTTCAAATGATGTTCAAAGACATTAAGTAATTTTCCAGAGTCACATAGCTAATGGAGGGCAGAGCGAGAATTTAAGCTGAGGTCTGGCCCAAAGTATGTGCTCTTAACCACTCTCTACATGGGCACTAGACACTAAACATGCACCTTGCCGGCACCATGTGTTTCTTCTAGAGTCCAGACTAGGGAAGTGTTGCAGGTGGTCATCAAGAAGACATGACCTCCAGTTTCACGTGAGAGTTGGACCTGGGCAATTGGAGGCTCTTCATCCCTTGCCCTGTCTTTGGAACGTGTGCTCTGCTTGCCTTCCCCGCTCCCAGAAGCTGCCCCCAGGGTATAGCCTTGAGGTAGTAATGTGGTCATGAGACTATCTGGACTGTGTATGTGACTGAACCCAGTTAAAGCCTCTATATAAACTTTTAAAACTTGGCAGGTGGATGCGGAAATCTTGTCTTGCAGCCGCCGAAGACAAGCCTCATGAGTAAGTTCCCTTGCTTATTAAACCTGCCACCTAATCTGGAGTGCTCTGCCTTTTTCTTCAGTCTCTCCTTGCCCTGCATGAATGGGGGTCGATTTCAGACTACACCTGGGAAGCTTCAAGGAGGTTGTGACCCAACAGGAAGGTTGTCTGGTCTAACTTGAGCCTAGACCAATCATCATACAGAGTTCTCACCATCCCAGCGCTGCTGAACTAGAGCAAACAAGTGGATGAGACCTAGGATTTCTGTAGTATATTTTAAAGAAAATTGAAAGCTCCATTGCAACTTGCCAAGATCCCTTTCCCAGATATTTAAAATAATTAAATATTTTATAACACAATTTATTTCAAAATTTTAAATGTGTATGAATATATAAATAATGAATCCAGTTCCTTTTCAGATTCCTATCTCAAAGTTATATTTACAGCTATACTTAAAATATAGGAGTACATTTGCTTCTAACCAAAACTGAGGGCCACACTAGCAAGTGATCTAGGTAAATATTGTCATGTGTTGGCAAAATATCTCATTTATTTACTTTGGCCTAATCACAAAGACGAAGGAGAAATTTTCTTGCAATTCCCAAAATTTGTGCCCTCAGCCATACTAAATTTTTATTTCTACCATGATCTGGTTTTAGTTACCTACCACCAACATGGACATTTGGATGTGTAACAACACATGTGGCTTTAGTGCTACCATTTAACATATCTACATGTATATGTGTTTGTGTATTTGTCTATGTATATAATTTAATATTACCCAATGGTAATATCCAATGATCAAATGCTGGGAATTTATTTTATACAAAGCTTTCATAGTTAATATAATTAAAAGTTATCTTGGCTAAATAATTTTTTCTGCTCTAATGACAAAGTTATTACCAGAGCTGATCCAGGGTACAAAGTGTTACCCACTTAATACATTCCACTTCAGTTCTCTTTATCAAAGTTAGACACTTAAAATCTACTCAAGCTCTTTGTATTATAGCACATAGTATTCAGGTGTGCTTCTGAGTTTTAGTTTTCCTAACTAAAAATTAAAAGCCAAACATACCAATAAATTGTGAGCACTTTATGTGCTTTACATGTGTACATGAATATGCAATTTGATTTCTAAAGGAGCATTTCTAAAGGTGCATATTGAAGTAATGGTTGTTTTTTTAAAAGAAAATTAACAAAACTAAAAAAGGTCAAAAATGTCAGGAGGCAACGAATTAAGAGTGATAAGCACAAATAGTTTTACAAGGATTGAACCAGAAACATGCATCCATTTCTTTAAAAATAAAATCTAGCTATACTGTTTTTTCAAAGATATGCACCAAAATAGTAAAACTTTGCTCATTCTACCCACTTTATATGAATGAGACTAATTTAAAACAAAACAAAATAAAAAATGTTAACACATAAAAAAATTAAGCTTCAATAACTTACCAAAAAAACAGTGCAGGTAACTTATCCATTTGTCCTAACTTTTCAACTAGAAGGGGAAACATTTTTACCATATCTTCTGAACTTGACAGCAAATTAGGGCTAAGCTTCTTCAGGACTCTTTTGGCCTAGAGTTGCAAATAAAATATGAATTTTTAAAAATAATTTGCTTAAATAGGACAAAGAACAGAATTATTCAATTGGTTGAACTTTGAAGTATTTTTCAGAGAAAATTTTTTGTGAGTTTTTAAAACTAGTTCTTTTAAAACATATTATCAGGGTTATGGTAAAAAAAATCAACAGAGTAATAGATAAGTCAATATGAGTGACTATTTCTCAACACATAGACTGGAATAAATATAAGATATAATATATGATATTTTGAAGGCATTACAAACGAGTCAGGAGGATGAAGACTGTTCAGGAAATGTCACTGCTTCACCTGCTGGACAGGGTGACTCCAGGCCCCATCTTTTATTAGACGGTAAAATAGCTTCCAAATGTATTAAAGAGTATATAAAATCAATGATAAAATAGCCAGAAGAAAATGTAAGAGAATACTTATCACTTATCTGGATAGGAATAGGTTTTTCAAATTTAAAGTAATACAAAAGTCACCTGAGAAAAGTTCAATATATTGCACTCTATAAAAATAAGAAACTTCTTCATGGGGTAAAAGAACAAAATCAAAATGTAGAAAGTCATCAACAACCTTGAAAAAATACAGAGATGAGGAAAAAAATTTTATGCAATATGACACAAAGTCATTCTTTATACACAAAAAAAAACCTTGAAGAAAATTTTAAAGTACTACAATAGGATAGAAAATTAGCTCCCAAAAGTTTGAATTACACAAAAAATACACAAATATTTTTAGACTTTCTAGTCTTTTAAAATGAAAATAAAGCAAAACTGAGATAAAACTTTTCTCTATCAAATTAGCAAACACTCATTTTTTAAAAAAAGAAGGAATAGCTCATTGATAATATCATTCATCATGGTGCAATGAAATTGACTCTTTCATAAATCACCCATTGCTGAGATTTTTTTCTTTATAATTTTCCGTGTTTTGTAATTTTTCAACAAGCAACATGAAAAACTCTTAAAATAAAAAAGAATTTTTAAACTATGTTTACCAGTAGTTTGTAATAACATAGAGATATGCTTATGTTATAATGCTTAACTGAAAATTCAAGAGATGAGTTATAAAAGGAACTGGACAGAAGTGCAACAAATTGTTTACCTCAGAGTGATGAAATTGTGGGTGATAATTTTTATTCTACTCCTCCATATTTACAGTTTTCTATAAAGAGCATCCACTACTTTTTTAATCAGAAAAGAAATAAACATGATTTTATATCAAGAAAATTGATATGAAATTCCTTTACATAGTATACAATGGAAAATCATGTGCTATCATGAATACATTTTCTTGATAAAATCAATTTTCCTTTTTAGGCATCATTTGGGGGAGATGGAAGGTAGGCAGGACTTTGGTTTCCAGTTTTTTCTTGGTTAACAGTTAATGGAATATAGCATTATGTGTCAAAAGATAGGCTAAAATATTTGCTGGAGTAGTATTTCCTGACATCAATACCATCTTTACCTTCATTTCTTTTATCACTGCCATAAAAAAGGCAAATAAACATGGCACATTGTCATCAGACTAGAACCAAAAGTCCACCAATCTTAACACTCAAGGATAACTCTGATTCTCAGAGTAGCCACTTAAGAGTTTGTCATCTGCAAATTTGCCTGAGCCTCTTTCAAATATATTTATATTTTCTCCTCTATCATGATTTACATGAGTTTCAGAAATTGGTTATTTTTATACATAATTTCTTTTTATTTGTCCAAAACCTACTTAGGGTAGCTCCTTTACTAACTCCCAATCTTCTCAACTATCATTACTCTGGAGCCAGTCCTTTTTCTGTGAAAGCAGCATCAACAATATTGATTCTCCTATTACCAGGTTCTCTGCTTTTAGTTATTATAACAATGTGAAGAACCAAAAGGCTATGGCACATGTTTTAGAGGGCACTGGGCTAAGAGATGAAACCAGTTCCCTCCCCTTTATATCTACCTCAGACTCAATGGATAACATGTTTAAACAAAATTTCTAAAATGAAAAATGAAATAAAAACTGGCATTGGCTAAGTTATATAACTCCAAATCGTTAACAATTAAGAGAAACTTTGCCCCAAAAGTGTGAAAATTACCTTCTTTACTTTGCCATTTTTAATCCAATTTGTCAGTTCTGCCTTTAAGTTTTCTTCATATTTTCTAGCATCCAACTTTTTAATGACTATTTTATTCTTAAAAAGAATGAATTCCTCTGGACACAATTCCTTGGGAAAAAATTATCATGGCATTAAGTTAAATTATGCAATTTCCATAAAAAATACAATGATATATTTAAATTTACATATCTCCTTAACCAAACTGCAAATTCCTTGAGGATAGGGTTTGCTGAACATCTTTCCATCTTCCCTTAACTTCTAACACATAAACCTATGATGATGGATGAACTCTTCAAAGGCAAGAATATAGAGCAAAGCCAAGGAAAGGATGAAAACTGACAGAGAGAAGAGAGTGTAATAAAAGAAAATAGAAGAATATAAATCCAATAAGGGAACTAAAGTATCCCAAACGCTAAACAAAAGAAACATTTTCAAGAATTATAGGATATTCTATATTTTGAAATGTAACAAAGTCAGGAAGAAGAATGTCTGAAAAGAAAGAATAATTGATTATTTCCAATATCAGTTTCCACTAATTAAGAGAATGTGTGCTTAAGTGAAGAATAATTTTCCCATGTTCTTTAATAGCATCAAATAAAGTAGTTTCCATGAATATATATTTATATATTTACCTGAGCCCTGGGCCAAGTTTCCCAGACTTGAACCATGGTATCATAAAGTTGGACACTATCTTGAGGGGAAAGGGTAAGATCAGAAGAGAAGCCATACTTTTCGATCTGTGAATAAATAAATTAATTAACAGATGGATGGATGAATGAATGAATAAATTAGGAATACTTACTTTCTTTTTATTTCATCTTATGTCATATTCTAGGCCTCAAGTCTCTACCCATGAATCCAGAGACGTTAAAGGGCAATAAACTGAAATACTCAATCCCTGCGAGGATCTAACTGCTAACAAAATCTTAACCAAGAAGCATCCCTAACCCACTGAAGCAGAAAAACCCCAAAGTCCACTAATAAGTTTTCATATTATTTCCTAAGACTATTGGTACTAGACAATAAACTGACACTTCTCTATGAAACATCTCTAGAACGCCATTGATGGCACTGGGCAGTTAGAAAACATGAACACTCACAGTGTGGTCTCAGTTCAGAGAAGACATATACCTCCCTTTTTGAAATCTCTCTTTGAAACTGAAATTGAAATGTATTTAGAGATAAAGATGCTTCTATGATCATGCAGAAAGGGATAAAGCTTTGTTAGGTAGAGATCCAGTAGAAAAGCTGGGTCAACTTCATGAAGACAAAGGCTTTCAGATAATCTTCAGACACTCCAAGAAATGTCTCCTCTGACGGCTACCCAGGTTACCGACGAGGTTCTATCTTAAGCCTTGAGAACACGTGCACTACCTATTCCTCGCACAAATGCTTTTAGCGTTACTTATGTGCCAGGCACTGTTTCAGGAACAACAACAAAAAAGAAATCCTGCCTTCCTTGAGTTTACACTGTAGATTCCTTGGGTTTCAAACACCACTCCTCCTAATCTGTTGTGTGCAAAAGGGCTAGAATAACATTTCTCAAACCAGGAGCTTTGAAAAAAATGTTAAGGGTAGACAATCTATGGGAAATATCCTATCAAACACAGTTAACCAAGCAGCTTTACTACAAGACTTCTGTTATGTTAATGTGCACTGTGAAGCTCCAAGACAGGGCTATGGCATTACACTTTCCCCCAACTTATTTGAAGAAGAAACGACTGTTTTAAAAAGTACCTATTACCAGTTTATGGAAGATTGGAATTACTGGATTAAAGGAGACACTCCAAAAATAACAGTGTGGAAGGAATTGAAGAGACGTTTGGTGCAGTGGAAAGCATAGTATAGTTGGAGTTTTAATCACAGCTCTAACTACGAGCTCCTTGGGTTTTGGGTTTTCTCATCTACAATATGAGAATGACAGTGTCTGCACGGTAGTCTTTCAGGATTGTGGCGAGATTCAAAAGAGTTAAATATATCAGGATTTTCTTTTTCTACTATGCTATGCAACATAAATATAAAGAACCATCATTTAACAACTTTCAGATTGGATCTATGAAGCTAGCTAGATGGCAAGGACTACATTTGAACAGACCAGTAAATGTTACATTGTCTTGGAAGATGAGGATTTCAGTATCTCATAAGTTATATCTTGTAGGTGACTACACAGTCTGTCTATGAGACTATCCCTTTCTTAAGTAATTAGTTTTCTAAGAATTATTAGGTTCTTACTGATGTTATGCTTCTATTTTGGGTTCTGGAATAATAGTGATGGAATTTCCAAAGTGTCTCTCATCCTTTTCTAGATGCCATAGTTTCCTCATCTCTAAAATGGGGATAAATATCCCCACACCACAGTTTTGTTGCGAGGATTAAATGAGATAATGTACATAATACACTATTAAAATGCCTGGTGCTTTTTCAGCATCCCACCTATAAAGTTGATTGATTATCAACTTACAGATATTCTTTTTCAGTTTATCAACTCTATTGCTAAAAAGGTAAGTTAAACTCAATTGTTCTCTCCTGCACAGGTAATTAGCTGGTATACCTTAAACTGACCTAGGTGATACAAAAGATGACATAGAAAGATGATGTATAAGAGAAAAGATCATTGGTTTCTACTACATCTTTATTCAGAAACACAATCATATCATACCACAAAGTTCTTATTCTATTTTGCAAAAATAAAAAAGAAATAAAATAACATAAATAAACAGTGAGTCAAAAGCCATAGGTGCTGGTAAGCATTTATCTGAACTGAGTGGAAAGAGACTGAAAGCAGTGCTTTCTAGGACTGCCTGGTGCTGACAGCTTCTCAGGGAAATGAGTAGCTATTCTTTTAGGGCAGAATAAGTTATAGTGAAGATTATGCAGCTCTTCTCTTTGCCCAGGAACAAGTCACATGTTGATTGAAGGCGATCCCTCACCACAGCTGGATTAAGGAGAGCTCACTCATCCTGCCCCATCCCTTCCTTTCTGAAACTACTTCCATGAGAGAATAACAGAGGAGAAGATCAAAGTTGGATGTTCCCTTTCATTCTTCTCTTTTTGCCTCAATTTAATCCGATTCCCCTCAAGATTGAGCAATTTCAATTTAATCCTATGTAAATCTTACGTAAATACACACCTCAGAAACTTAACCACAGTTGTCTAAACATTTAAAAAAGCATAAGTCTCTGTATCTATCCCCAGGCATGATGTAAAAGAGTCAAGATTTAAGAAGACTCATACAACAGCACAGCCATACAGGGTCAGAAGTCATATAGGGTCAGAGCACACTGTAGTGGTTATGTTGCTTTCCAGTTACTCTATTAATAGCTACTGAGAATAGAAGAAGGCACGTGCCCCAAAATGATGATCTCACCAAGTACCCCTGGCCACTGTACTCACAGCTGATTAAAGATAACCTGTCTTGAACCATCCTAAGCAGAATAAGCCATAAAAAAATTATAAAATGGTATGCAATTAGAAAATGACCGGGAATTTTATGCTGAAAATGTCAGAAAATCATTGGAAGCTTTAAAAATGATGTCTTTATTATGTATCAATTCTCTAGGCTTGGAGCTGGTGATAGAGAGAGGCAAGAATGTGCTTTATAGCATGTGGTTTGGGTCACTAAAAAGCAAAGGAAAAGCTACATAATAAAATTCTATTTCAAAACTTCCATAATACAGAATCACTTCAGCTGGATTTTACACACCTTTGACCATAACAGTTCAGAGTCTATGAAGTCCTTTCCACTCAATCACTCACTCAGGCATTCAATCTACAAATTGTTCAGTGTTAACACTGTAGTTAAGAGCATTAGCTCTTGGGGTCTGAATTTGGTTCCTAGCCCAACAATTACTAACTGAGTCCTCGGGCTATTTAACTTCTCTATCCTTCTCCTTCCTCATCTGTAAATTGGGGGTAATCATAGCACATTTATTATAAAGACATTGTGAAAGTGAAAAGAGAAATACACACAAATGTTTAGCAAGTGCCTGCCACATAGTTAAATGCTCAACATATGTTGGTCATCATCATTCCACAAATATTTATTGAGCAGCTTTTAGATATAAGGCACTATGAGCTAGCTGTAAGATAACCCAGAGGTGAAAAACTACAAAATTTTTCATCAGAAAGCTTAGAATCTGGGGGAAAAAAAAAAGAGAGATGCAAAAAAATTTATAATAGTAGGCTGACCATAGTTGGTGTCATTTAAAAAAATACAAATAATAAGTTATATATTATTGGAAAAGAAGATTACTTCAAGATGGAGAGATCATAGAAAGACTTCTGAATAAAGTCCCTCATTAGCAGAGACATGAAAGATGAATAGGATCTGGAAATCTAGAGTTTAGCATCTGGGGTAAAGCATTCCAGGTACAACATACAGCATGAAGTCTTCCAGGAGAGGAAAGTGAATCTAGATTAGAGAAGACCTTGAATGCCAAGCTAAGAAGTTTGAAATGTATTTGTTTCCAGGGGAGAAACACTGAACGCTTTTGAGTAAAAGAGGGAGAGGATCAGAATTATATTTTATGAAGATTAATGGAGCAGTAGAATTTTGAACGTAGCATAATGAAAAGACTATCTATTGGCTAATGTCATTTTATCTTTGAGAGGCAACTTGAGCCTAAATGACCTCATCATGGGAATATAACGGAAAAGGAGGAGAGAAAAGCAACAGAAATTAATAAATCCTTCCACACTCACAATTCAGTGCCCCAACTGAGATCTCTTAAGGCCTTCATCTTATTAATCCACCGTGAAAAAGTCACGTTGAGATTTTCACGTTAGTGGGAAGCGTCTCTTCCTTGTTTAGATCAATTGATAGTGATTAGATTCTGACATGAACAAGGCATGCCCATTCAGTTGTAGCTGCCTGGTTAGTCACAGAGAAGTTGAAGACAGAAATAGGTGCTAAGAAGAACCTGGGTAGAGAAAGACAATGTCTGGAAATAAAGACAAAGAATAAGCTAACCAAAGAACTCAAATTAGAATTCTCCATTACTTCCTCTCTAGAGGTAGTTATTAAACTTTGGATGTCCCAGATAACTTTGAGGATCTAATGAAATCTAGGAAACGGTATACACACAAAATCGTTAGAGGGTTTGTAGTCTCCCTGGAGGCTTAGCATCCTTGCTTAGCATGAATGCTTTCCATCCTGATGTCCACTGACCTTAGGTTAAGATTTTCTATTGTAAAGAATATATGCTGCAATTTTATGAAGATTAATTGAACAACTTTCCAGTTGTGATATACGCTAATATTCCTCTAATAGGACAAATCTGGCTTTATACTTACATGATCTGTTGTTAATGCTGCACATGGGTGAAAACGATCAAAACAAATGTCATCATCTTTTATTGAACATACATGCTTCTCTAAATCATTGTATCTCTCTCCATAGAGCACTAAATAAGAAGGGAAAGAATATACAAATTAATGGACATATAATTATTGGAATATAGATAACTTTAAAGTAACATAAAACAAGCCCTATACTTCTAGATCAAGCTTACCAAGTCTAACTTCATATGACTGATCTATGTGCAAGTTGTCTTTGAGAAAGTTGAGACATTGGTCAGACTTTATTTCAGAAATAAATTTTTCTTCCATCATCTTGTCTGCCTGTCTCCAGTACTGTTTTACTGATTGAAGCCACCTTAAAGAATAAATAAGCATATTATTTAAGCAGAATATGGAACTATTTACCAAGAAATTAGATTTTTTTTTTTTTTTTTAGCGAGGAAGATTAACCCTGAGCTAACATTCACTGCGAATCCTCCTCCTTTTGCTGAGGAAGATTGGCCCTGGGCTAGCATCCATGCACATCTTCCTCTACTTTATAAGGGGCGCAGCCACAGCATGGTTTGACAAGCAGCGCGTTGGACCGCGCCCAGGATCTGATCCTGGGAACCCCAGGCTGCCGAAGCGGAGCACGAGAACTTAACCATTACGCCACCAGGCCAGCCCCAAGAACTTAGATATTTTAAGCAAAGAAAATTCCACGCCTAAAAATTTATACTTAAGCACATGGGTTCTGGATTGAAACTGCCCAGCTTTGAATCCAAGCTCCATCACTTCATAACTGTGCACTTTGAGCAAGTTCCTTAACCTTTCTATGCCTCCGTTTCTTCATCACAAAATGGTGCATAATAGTAGTACCTTCCTCATAAGGTTGTTATAAGAATTAAATAAGTTAAAATACCTGCCACGTAGGAAGCACTATGTTAAGTGTTTGTTGTCATTGTTGTTGCTATCATTGTGGTGGTGGTTACTAGAGAAAATCAAGTCTGGCAACAAAACAATACTTGATATTCAAATAACAAGGCTTTGTTGTTATTACAGCCACCATCTACAGGGTGGAACAATGTTAGGAAGCCTCAAGGTCAACGGCTGTGTCCAAGTTATTTCCATTTTAGCATTACTTTTTAGATAAGAACAACAAAAAAAGGGATACAACTCATCTACCACTTCAGATGATACTTATCTGAGAATTTTGTGAAATTTTTCTACACAGTTTCAGATCTAGTTGCAGGACACTTGATTCTGTTTTGGGGAAATGTCTTCCTTCTATCTCTTCTAGGAAACACATCTTCAAAATATTTTTAGAGAAGTTATATTCTCTGAAGTTTCAAAGATAAGGTAATAAATTTATCTGAAAGTTAAAATGTTATACAAATAACCTTAAAGACTACAGATCCTATGGATAGTATATTATTCAACCATTCAATATATAATTTCCATTCTGTCCAAAATGCAACCTATACCTACTCAGTGAGAAGCTTAGGGTTACTTATAGTAGCTGAAAGAACCAAAAAGGGACATCGAATCATGACAAGAAGATGCTCCCAAAATTTTCCTCCAATTTCTCCACCAAGACAGTGAACCTAGTAAAGAAAAAAAATTATCAGTTGAAAAGTTGATTTGAAAATAGTAAATGGAAAAAAGCATAGAAGCATTAAATAGTCACGCACATTTTTCCACTTTCATATAACTAACCAAACCTAAATAAAGTAAATGATGACGACGTCAGGCAATAGAGGTCACTGACACTTGACTCTTCTTCAGTCTCCACAACTATTCCATCGTTAATATAAAATCCAACTCTCAAAATCTATTTTGAAGCCATGTTTTCCTCTCCATTCCTATTGGTATTCGAGCAACCATCATCTGGATGTCTACAATAGCCTCCTGACTGTTCTTTTAGCTTCTACTCTTTCCCTATACACTCTTCACATCATAGCCATAATGGGATTTTTAACCTACGTCAAATCAGGCCATGTAACTAATTAAAGCCCTGCAATGTCTTCCCAATGCATTTAGAGCAAAATACAAATCGCTTAAGTGGAAGTGTAACACCCTGCATGATCTGGCCCCTGCTCACTTGTCCAAGCTCATTTCAGGCTGCTCTTCTCCCTCATTCACTCTGCTCTGAACATAGTGGCCTTGTTTTCATTCCTTGAACACACTTGTCCCACTGCAGGGCCTTCACATACACCACTCCCTCTACTTAAACCCTCAACAACCTCTCTTAGCTGACTATTCCTACTTATTCTGCAAAGCAGAGCTCATGGTCACTCCCTCAGAAATATCTTTTCTGAGCACTCACTCCAAAGCCGTCCTTACTTCCCATTTTGCCATTATCATGGCCACAACAGACTGAACTTTTTCTTCAGAGTTCTTATCAAAATGTTAACTTATATTTTCAGCGGTATGTTTCCTTGTTTAATTACTCTTGTCCTCACTAAACTGATACTGAATATATCAGAGAAAAAGCACAGTGCCTAACACATAGTAGGCACTTAATATTTGTTGAATGAATGAATCAATTACCTTTGTCCAAATAATACAAATTAAGACTTAGAGAGGAGGCCCCAAATTTTATTTTAATTACATAAAATAAATTGTGACACTTAGGACTCAACTGGAAAGACTTACTATCAGAGCCTAATAATAAATAAATAAATAAATAAACCAGTATATTTCTTTATCCATTCCAACTTTGATCTGGTCAGATAGTAGAACGCTTTACCAAATGCTATACTTTTTATCGGCTAGCAATTTCTCTTAGCCTTCTAAAACAGACATTCATTTGTAAAGCCTTCCTGTAGGCAAGTTTTACACATGTATAAATCAAGAAAACTGAGGTACCCAAGTTTTAACATTATTGTGCTTAAGCATTTTGAGATGAGACCACAAGCCAAGGTTCCAGATTGTGAAGATCAAGGGTTTGGTTTGGTTTGGTTTGGTTTCCCCTTAGAAAGGGAATGTTCAAGGTTAGCAAGACACAATACAGCCCAGTGAACAAAACAGAAATAAAGTACTTCAGGACCAAACAAAGCAGAACAACAGCTGTCAGCCTGCTCCCAGCTTCACACAAGGAAAAGGTAGACTCACTATAGGTTTGTCACCTTGTTCCCTTTAAAGTTGAAAATTCCTTGAAGCAAAGAAATATAAAGTTTGCATTCTATTTCATCACCTTCAATTCATGTTGATAATAATACTGCTATGTCCCTCCAGATTTAAACCATTCTCCATTTTTCTCTCTCTGAACAACGAGTCTGACCTTGGAAACCAGCTCAACCAACCTCCCTAGCTCTCTAGCTTCTGTTAGGTTTGGCCAGTGGAAAGCCCAGGCAAGAAACGGAAGGAGGGAGAACAGTAAGGTCAAGGTCTTTATTCTACTGGCTCCTTTCCTAAGAGGTCAACCTTGGCTAGCTGTGTTCCTCCATCAAGGTCATGGCTTCTCCCAAAAAGGCCATGTCTGCTGACTCTCTCTCTCTCTCCTTTTGAGTTCCATACTACTTTCTCCTCCTCTCCTCCTCCTACAGATAGTAATAGCCTGGGGCTGGTACTATTTCTGGATTGCTGCAAATACCGTGTGGTTTTCCTCGCACAAACCTCTGCAAACAGCCCCTTTGTAAAAACACCTTTATAAAAATTATGCTAATTTGAATATGCAATCTGTTTTCTCTTTGTACCCTGGCTGACACAAGTTAGATAATTACCATCATAGACCCCTACATTTTCAAATTAGAAATTATAGAGCATATGCACACTAGGACATCAACCCAGAGAAATAGCCCCGAACCTACCTCATCAAATATAACATATCTGATCCTTTTCACCCATTTTTGGCAACGAGGAGTAAGCAGCAGAATTTCAAAGCATGCAGGCTCTGTAATAAGTACCTAAAAATATAAAAGATTAGTGTAGCTAGCTTTACTGAGCATTTCTTTTGTGTCAGGCATAGTAATACAAACCTAAAAAATACATGTTTATGACTCACTGCATGTACTTACTGGGAATTAGGACAGAATATTGCTGCTGAGGGTAGTTTCCTTAAGACCATGGTGTATCTTTGACATTTGTAGTTTAAGTACTTATATTAACGAGCATTTGGATTAATGGAAATGGAAGAAAAGGCTAATGGTTGTTTTACATTTTGTTTAGTCTTAACTGCTCACTTGTGAGTTCAGTAAGGGAGAAAATCTATCTTCATCTATGATTTACCTAACAACAGATATGCTATCAAAATACAATATTTTCGAGAAAGTTTTTATTATGAATATCCTTAAATTTTTATTATTTATAAGCAATTTTGAATGGAAAAAAGCTTGGGTAGTTATTTAATAATGTACTAGGTTTGTTAAATCTACTTAAATCCCTTTATAAATTAAAATGAGATATAGTAACCTATTACTTGACATTTTAGGTCATAATGTAAGTGTCTTAGAGAATGATGGTCCTAGTTTCCACTCTTTAGAGCAGAACGACCTTAAATTTTTCATATGGCAATTTCATTTCTTGTAAATTCAATGAAATTACTTCCAAAAGGGTTTGTGACTATGTAGATTCCCAGTAAAATAGGTATATATGTACTGTAATATAACTTAATAAATTCATTCATTAATATGCCATACCTGACAGTTGAGTGTATTATGATGGTAATCTCTCGTGAAAGCACCACATAGAACTCTGCCAGGCCGTAACTTTTTGATAAAACGATTCTGAACAGTTGCTGCCACTTGACCAACAAGGGCCTGATTGACAAGAAAAGAGACCCGTTAGTCATTTAGTAAAGAACAGACATATAAAACCCCAGAGGACAAGAGAATCCATCTACAGGTATATTATTTTACGAGCCTATAAAGTTTAACCCTTTTCCTATCCCTCAGTCCTAAAGGGCTGTATTTGAGTTACTTGACTAAGCAAATAAGGTTTAAAGGATAACACTTAAGGGAGGGTAAAATGGAGATAAACATGGCTTCATCCAAAGGAAAATCAAGGAAATGATCCCCACACATCAGAAAAACTTCTTGCATAATCAAGGGTTAAAGAGAAGGTGTGAGTCAGCAAAGGCAGATGCCTCACTGAATCCAAGTATAAAGCCTAATCTGAGAGCGGACATCAAAGTTTGGAGGCCAGACTTTTTGTTCTCTCTAATTATAAGGAAATTGTTATTGTAGGCTTTGAAACGGGAAGGAGAAAATGCAAGTTAAAAAATAAAAGGACCTAGATCTACCACGTGACCATGTGCATTATTTTTAAAGGAGAGATTCAGAAATGAAAGAGAACATGACATTCACTTGAGCACTACCTTCGTTGGTGTGACATACACAACCACCCCTTCATCGCTCTCCTTCAGCACTTTCTCCATGCAGTAGTAGGAAGCATAGGTTTTGCCTGAGGACGTTGGGGCAACAATCACCGCTGACTCATTATTATCCACAACATCCAGGAGCTCTCGCTGCAGGATCAAGGGCATCATTTTTTGGTCAAGAAAGTAAACAGCATGTTACCAAACAAAGACCATGTCATTTGTACCCTCTATCTCCTGTGCCTACGTTATGCTGCAAAGAGAACTCTGATTTTCTGAAGATGAGGTGTGGTAAACACTCTCTCAGAAGGATGATTCAGGAGAAGGCCTGAATTCCTCACGTCCTTGCCTCAGAAAAGAAATTTTTTTTACATTTTGACCTGGAGGGAGGGTTTTGTTTCCGAAAAATGGAAAGTGAGACTGAGTGAAACATCCTTTTCAGTTGGAAAGTATTTTTTCCAATTATTGATCATTTAGTAAGTTCAGAAAAAGCGTTGCGAAATTAAATTCCAAGAAGTTAGTAGTGCCATGTTCACAGAGCTTCACATACAGAGAGTTATCTACATATCTTTTCCTGATGATGAAAATAAAAAGGCCAAGAAGGAGAAAAAGTCAGTGATTCATCGTACTCTAGTTACATTCTCCAGACACGGGAGAAAACCATCTACTACCTTTGAAGGCGTGTGAGAGCTTCACAGGCACTCATCACGTGGGACTAGGCTTGTATTACATCCAAATGATGATTAGTCAGAGCCTTAGTACCGTTTGCTCGCTGTATGACAAGCAGAATATGGGAAAACACACCCGCCTATGTACTCTTTATTCAGGGTCCCCTCTCAGAGCCATGCTACAGGGAACTGGTCAGAAGACTTACAATTTGTGGAGGCCTAATGGAGAATATGTGGCTGTCTTGTGACCCAGATTGAAGGGAGGACTGCTCCCCGGGCTCCACAAGAAAAGAAAATCAGGTTCTGACTTCCTACATGGATATATTTTATTCTCATTTGTTAATCGATCTTTTTCAATTTTAAATAAATTTGTTTAAGAACAGCTAAAATCTGGGAGTTCAGTGTATAACTGACCAAAGATTCTGCACACCTTTCTGTTCACTTAAAATGTTTTTTAGCCCATTTGCCTACAACTCTCCCATATAAATCCAAGGCAAAATTGACTGATCACTTTAGAAAAAGTTAACTTTCAGAGAATGCCCAAATTGGATGGTGACAGTTTGTATTACTAGCAATAAGGAGCATCTAATGCACAATCAGATTATCTTTCTTATCCAGTCCCAGATGGTGTTGATGGATATCTAGATATAAACTCCCAAGTTAGACCACCAAAATTTCCCTGTACAAACTTACATCTATACAGAAGTTTTTCTGTTGCCATAGGCAATATTTTCAAGCTCCTCTAAGCTAACGTGACCCGAAGATGTCTATATGACTCAATCAAAGTACCCACATGAAAACAATTTATATACTAGATGAAAGGTCACATTCCTTAAGTGGAAAACAAGTCGACATTTTGATGAAACGGTTTCATATGATATTACACAAAATGTAAAAATTTATGTAAAATATAACATGTAGAGACACAGTAAAGAGAAGATCTGAAAACACACTGATTAAGAAAATACAATGTTTCTTGTCATTACCTGCCATGTGTCAGGAATAAAATCTTGGACCCTGGGATCTGGATCATTCCTCTCATCTCGTATCAAATAATGGCCCATGTATTGCAGTTGAAACCTCGCTGGTCCAACATCAACTGAATATTTACTCTTTTTCTTCTTTTTCTCATCATCTCCTGTTATCTGTTATTATTTCAATACATGATTTTATTTGAAATCATCTTAAATTTAAAAATTGAATAAAAATTTAATATTTATTGATATTTTAATAAATATTAAATTTATATAAATTAAATTTACTATACAATGTACTAAGTTTATATAAATAATACTTAATTTAAAATTTATAAATATGAAATATTTATTTATTAAATATTCAATGCACAAGGCATTTTTATCATGCTTTTAAATAGTCTAATATTTAGGAAGAGTTTTGTCACCTAAAATATCATTCTTGGAATAAATAAAACAGTAGATATTACTGTTAAAAAAAATTCATCCTAGAATTGAAAGCTAGAAGCCTGTTAAAGATAGTCTTCATTCTCACCACAGTTTTTAGATATGGTGCTAGAATTAAGTACAATATTCACTTTTGTTACCAAGAGGGTTCAAGGTGTCATCCAGAGATCATCTGGTATTTAATCTCTGCTTCCAGACACCATCTGTACAAATTTTCATATTCTAATTTACTTCAAATTTTGGCAGCCAGGTTATTAATAAATAGTCTCAAGTCTATTATTTTATAAACTAGAATCAAACTAAATATGTTCAGCTGATAACTCTATATATGAGATACTTTATGACACTGATTAATTATTCTACTATATTAAAATTGGTTAAAAGTTAAAGTAATGAGAAATTCTAGTTATCTTACCAGGGTTGGATCTAAAGAGTTTGCCAAATCATTAAAACCTAAATATTTAAGGCATTTGGCTATAAATTTATGATCCTCCTCTTCCAAAATTTCTGGGTATCGCTCCAGAAGTGAATGGATTCTTTTCATCATTTGAACAGCTATACTTAAGTCTTTTGAAATTTTGCCTTGTTAAAGAAACAATAAAATTGTTAAAAAGAGCATCAGAAATAATAATTGCTTGATCATTCATGACACTTATCTAGTCAACCAATTAACCTAATCTGATTAAACTCACCATTTTACTTAACTTTAATGGAGGTTTTTAAAGCATAAAAACAATTAAACTCATGATTAAATAAAATTAATACTCTATCTAGCCACACTTCCACATCATCTTAAATAACTTAGAAATAGCTGTTTAACGGTAGGGAAAAAATAAAATAAGAAACGAACTTTGCAATTCTTAGCAGAAATAAGAACCATTTGAACTCAGTTCTGAACCAGTTTCAAAGGAAAATAAAGAAATAACCTGCACGTTATTTGCATATGTCTTCTATGTGCATAGAAAAAACTCGACTTTAGATACCTGATCAAAACATCAGCAACATTTACTGAGGCCTACTCTTGACCACATATGATATTTGTATTTATGAAACAATCAGTGGAAACTTCCAATCCTGAAGAGCTAAGATAGAACCTCACTGTACCCCAATCATTCTATACAGACTCTCAAGTTCACATATAGCTTCTTTATTTTATTCCACTACTAACTATTTAATACAAAGTCAGGGCTGTTGTAATGCCATCTTTCTTCAACATGTATTACTGAACACCTGCTTATGCAGACTGCAGATGTATGCATTAAGGAGGTTTCAGAAGAAATTTAAGACATGAGTTCTTACATCCAGGAACTTTTGGTCTGGTTGGAGAAACAAAAGATTGCTCTTGACATCGATAAGTATGAAATCTGATTTTTAATTCAGAGTCCAACAGGAGTGACAGAGGCAGTAGGTGTTACGTGAGCAGGAGTAATTGGGAAGGCTTCCTGAAAAGATGGGCCAGAGGACAGACAGAATTTAGGCAAATGGACACAGAGGAGGGTATCTGTAGGAGAGATGATAATTGCCTCCTCAACATCCATTACCCCATTTTTCCTTATCAATGCCTATGTTAATGGAGACTGCAATGTGCCCAGTTAAAAGCCCATATTTTCTAATCTCCCTGTGAGTAAGTATGGCTTTGTAACTAAGTTTGGCCACTGAGACATAAGCAGAAGTTGGTGGAATTTCTGGGAAGGCTCCTTAAATGGGGGATATACAACTGGGATGGTACATATTTGCCTTTTTTCTTCTTCCGACTTTATTCTAGAATATGACCATAATGGCTGGAGTTTCAGTAGCCAACCTCATAACCTTAAGAATGCAAGCCACACACCAGAAATGATGGAGTATCATGACAGAGGAGCCTAAGTCCCTCGTGATGCTGTAGAGTTGCCAGAGCGGCACTGAACTGCATATTTCCGGACTTCTTTCACATGAGAGAAAAATATAGCTCTCGAGGATTTCTGAAAAACACTCTCTTCTCTTGTTCCTGTCAAGAACTATGAAAAGGCTGAGATCTTACCCTGTTAGCAAGCTAATTATTTACTCTGCCATAGCTTCATGGATGGTGGCAAAAGACATGAGACTCCTGGGTCAGAGACAAAGGACTTTATTATTCATGGTACAGCTAGCAGCATAAGCATCCTCTGTGTGTCAGTTCACCTGGTCCCTTATGTTTCACCAGAGAGATATGGAGCCCAAGCAGAAGCTGCACACACAGTGGATTTGTGTCACGGCTAAGGAATCCCAAACTTAGAAAACCCAAATCTTTTATAATGGGCTTCAAGCAAACCTGTCGCTTTGACCTGGAGAGAGATAGTATCTTTATTACACTGGTGAGTAAACAAACCTGGCCTTTACTCTAGAAAGAGACACAATCTCTATCCTGCAAGGCTGTTGACTGTACAAACATCCTTGAAAACATAGTCTGGGAAAAAAAGTTGTCAGTGCTTCTGCTTGCAAGGCATGCAGAAACATGAAAGACCCATGGAGAATCACCTCCCAACAGCAACTTCATATCTCCCAGAGGGTGATGGCTTCCCTTCTTTGATGGGCCCTGTTGCCACTGCTGGGCCTCATCCTGCCTTGGTGGTCCCCTTAATTCTGTCCACACCTTTGGAAAGAGTCCTTTCTTTACACTCTCTACAATGTCTTTTTGAATGTGCCATTTTGTCCCCGTTGAGACCCTATCTCCTAACCTCTCTGCAATTCCACTTTCTCATTTGCCAAACAGGGCTAATCATAACTATCTTAGAAGGTAGTGCTGAGAATAAAATCAGATAATATATATAAATATTTTAGCACAACCATGCATTCAATAAATATACTGGCATCATTAATGTTTTTACCATTACTCTCTATCCATATAATATAGAGTCAAATACCTTCATCTTGGCAATGTTCTTTCCATGCTCTAAAGCAGGCAATTAACCCTGCCATTTCAACTTGAAATTTCACTGAGTTACTTTTACATGATTTTAAAAAATCTTCCAGGTTCTTTATTCCAGAGTTTAGATTCTCTCTCGTCTCCTTTTCAATAGAAAATAACAGATCATTGCATTGTTGTTGTTCTTTCTGATCTTTGAGAAGTGATCTTTTCTTCTTTCTAGTAACTTTCCCAGGTTTAGCATCCTGCTCAATAAGAAAAGGAACATGACACAAAACAAGTGGAAATACTCCAAGATGATATTCCATTAGTGAGAAAGCATTTTTCATATGTTTACTGTTGATTTTGACCATCATCCTATTCATGAACTGGCACATTTTCAATGCCTTTTTCTTAAAATTAAAGTCTTTGTGCAATGCAGATCTTCAGCATAAAAGTATAAACTTCAGTATAAAAGTAAATCGTCTGCAGAAAGTTTTCCAGATTTCTGTGATGCAGATTATGAATAAAGGACTAAAAGTAACAAAATAGAGACTGTAGAGAAGCTTCCTATAGATTTATTTATTCATTAATTTATTCATTCTTTTTTCCCACAAAGCATTTTGAGCACACCCTTCCCCCATCCCCTACCCCTCCTTTGGAGACGCATCTTGAAAAACACCAACAACCTAAAACTGTTCTAAGCAGACATTAGGCAAAGAGGGAGGATAAAATTTCCTATTTAAAAAATGGGAAATGGAGGAGCCACACACTTTTGGTAGGGTGTTAATTTATCCCACTTCCCCAAAAGTTGGATGTAACACTTAATTCCCATTTTGCGTGAATTGCAGTGCGATCAGTGCCACCTGGGAGAGCGCGAAGCAGTGACTGGGGCCCCCAGTCGCCTGTCAGGGGCCAGCCTTGGGGCAGGGCTTGGCTGGGTGATGCCCCTGCAGATGGCTGCAAATAGGGGTGACTTCTGGATGCCGTTTTCCCTTCGGTACTTGTTCGTTAAGTAGAACCTGGACTGAGCCAGCCTTGATGGCCTAGGGGTTAAAGTTACACGAGCTCCGCTTCAGTGGCCCGGGTTTGCTTCCTGGGCACGGAACCAAACCACTTGTCTGTCAGTAGTCATGCTGTGGGGGCAGCTCACATAGAAGAACCAGAAGAACTTACAATTATATATAACTATGTAATGGGGCTTTGTCAGGGGGGAAAGAAGGAGGAAAAAAGGAGGAAGATTGGCAACAGATGTTAGCTTAGGGCGACTCTTCCCCTGCCAAAGAGTAAAACCTGGACCTCTGCCCTGGGTGCCCCACCTGGCCATCCTTAGCTCCAAGGAGGTGAGATCTGTGGGCTGAGGTGGAGCCTCTACAGCCAAATCAGGTGTGACGGCTCGATGGACCTTTGAAGCAGTTCTAGGAGACAGACCTGATAGCAGTGCTAAGAAACCTGTACGGTAATTAGTGATGACTTTTCAATGTTATCTTGAAAAGCTTTGTGCAGAAACTCTCTCTGCCTGACATGTGGTTCCTTGGAGTCTTGTCCCTCTCAGCCTAATTGGTTAGTTGCAGGTCTGACAAGGAAAAGGAAGAGTCCAGTTTTCCATTAAGAATTTGCTAAAATTAGTGGGAAGGGAAAATGTTTTCATATTTTGGGTTTTTTTCCTCTAAGGCCTTTATGTTTCATTTTCCAAAACATTTCCACACCCACTCCAGTTTGGGAAGGCAGCTGTGATGAATGCTGGTCATTACTTTGGTTTGCCCTCTTTCGAATATTTAGCATTGCCAACCCCAGGAGGGAGTTTTACTGAAACGAATGCCCTTCCTTAATTCCCAGTCATGAGGCCAGGAGAGATGGACTGAAGCCTAACGAAATCCTCTGTTAAAGAATGATCACAAAGTAGTATCTTCACAAGCATAGTCATAAAATTAACCATTTGTTCAGTTATGAACATAATCAATTATATTACCTGATCCTTTTCCACATTATCTTTTGCAATATTTTTTTCAAATTACAGGGATTCTATATATGTCCACAAGTAAAGCCCAGAATAAAGGACAGAAAGACCATTGCCTCAAAGAGGAAGCAAATAGGTATGGAGGAGTCGCACCCTGACAGGAAGAAGACTGACCTTAACTTCAACCCAAACAAAAGTCCCAGATGGCAGATTAATGGTATAAATAATTTATAAACATTTAGGCAGTTTTCAAAATTCAGGCAAAACAACAAAGCTGATGAGTACGTTAGACCTACTCTTACCAACTATATGAAAAAAGATTTTCATTGTAATAAACTAATAAACAAATATTTCTTTTAACTTAAATTCAACGTTGCCAAATCCAAGCTCTTAATCCTTTCATGCCTTAGATTCATTATCAGATCAATCTATCTTTCATTATCAGATGGAGGATAAAATAGTAAATTTTATGTAACTTTCCTAGAATTTCTAATGGCAATAAGTAAAATAATAACTAATTTGTAAGAAAACATAAGGAAAAAAAGCATGAAAAAAACCTCCAAAGAAACGAACAAACATCAGCTTAAGGAAAGCAAAACACTGTAAAAAAATTAGGTAAAATACATAGAATCTACCTGTAATAGTCCACTATTGGCTCCCCTGGAATCCTCTTTTGGCTGGGTAGTTTGAGTTACAATGACTTTTGAAGAGACTGATTCTAACGATTTCCCATAAAATTGTGGATAAATCTGATTCTTTTTCACATTAAAAACAGGTGGGTCTCTAAATTTCTCTGAAATAGAAAGACTTAAAATGTAAAAATTTATTTTAAAACGTTACTAAATATTGATATAACGTCCTCACTACTTCTCTATGCCATCTCAAGCACACATTCTTTTGTTTTTTTTTAATTTTAACTCCAAAACAGTAATTTCATCTAATTACCTTTGCTAATGAGGTCAGATTATAACATGCTAACAAAATAATTCTTTATCTTATTTGAGGAAGACAGAGGATAAAAAGCTCTGCTAATGTCCCACTTCAAGAGCACCTGGACACTGCCTCTGCCATTTGGCAGGAGAAGAGGAGAAGAGGCGGGTAGGGACAGAGTCAAGTAATGTATTCATCCGAGAAAGATCAACACCTAAGACTCACAAAGTCAAGTCTGCCCAGCACCTGCTCGGGGATTTGTTTGGTTGCTTTTTTTTTTTTTTTGACTTTCAAGCTAAGCACGTTTTTTACATTTTTAAATGGTTACATTTTAAATGGGTATATAAGTACCTATATCATGGCCTCAATTTTATCTCTTAACGTGCAACGTGTAAAATATTAACTATCTGGCCCTTTAAGAAAAAATTTGCTGACCTCTGATCTAGACTATTCTATTTGCATTCCTGAAAAGGAAAACCACAACTCTGGCCACAGCCAAAGGTTCAAGAGCTTACAACTGAGAGAAACCACTACTAATTATCTTTCACCATGCAGAAATTCAAATGACACAGAAAATTCCAGCAAGCGAGGTTAGATTCATCCTAGACCTAAGAAACACTCTTTACAAACATAAAAGATATAAATGAGGTGATGTTTTGTTCATTTGTTGTTGTTGTTCTTTTGTTGTGTCTATATCTATATGTGACCACAAATCAAACCATATCGGAAGTACATTACGCATAATCTTGGTAGCTAGTTATATAAGTAGGCTTATTTATATATACAATTGGCATGCTTGCTTTACATATTTCTATATTCTTCTAAAAGAAGTTTGTTTATTTTTTTTGTGAGGAAGATCAGCCCTGAGCTAACATCCATGCTAATCCTCCTCTTTTTGCTGAGGAAGACCGGTTCTGAGCTAATATCTATTGCCAATCCTCCTCCTTTTTTTTCCCCAAAGCCCCAGTAGATAGTTGTATGTCATAGTTGCACATCCTTCTAGTTGCTGTATGTGGGACGTGGCCTCAGCATGGCCAGAGAAGCGGTGGTCGGTGCACGCCAGGGATCCGAACCCGGGCCGCCAGCAGCGGAGCGCTAGCACTTAACCGCTAAGCCACGGGCCAGCCCTAAAAGAAGTTTTATCAGTCCTGAGAAAGGTGGAAACAAACATGGGGTTGGAGAAAGACACACTAAAGATAGAGAACCAACCAGCAAGAAAAGATCCCCTAATTCATTTTCTAAGGACCTATTTTTAACGGTTTCATGGACCTCATGAAAGTTTTTTTTTTTTTTTTGGCAGTTTCAGCCCCTCCTCATTATTGAGTTTCTGTGGGCACAATATGTTGGTATTTATCAGCACGCAATCAACTAGACAACTGTGTAGCATGAGGAGAGCTGAAATTTCTAGGAAGACTATGGTTGTATCAGCATATATAAATCTATCGATAGACAGATTTCTACAAGCATAAATTATCTTTCCTACTTATAACAGCATCTGATATTTTTAGCGACAGTGCCACGTATATGTACTTCCTTATAAGATAAATAAATCTCTATTTGAAATAATAAATACATCTGCATGCATACCTACACATGCCCACTAGGCAATACAATGGGATTTTTTCAGAGAATATACTTCCTGAAGTGCTTCTCCAATTCTATATATACTAACCTCATTCAAAACATAATTTTTGTTTGTAATATAATACTTTTTCACTGTTCAATGAAGAGCAGAAAAGGCAATTCATATAAGCTCTATTTTATTATGGTTACAGAGCTCACCATCAAAGAGACACCTGGTCTTGTCATAGTCATTACTAAGGGGTCTGTGAGCATGCCAGTGCAAAAGTTCATCACGTTCCTTTTGTTTAACCAGTGAAGTAACAGCTGGATCATCACTGTAAAAATACATATATATATATTATATACCTATATATTTAAAAATATATTTATATATATATATACGTAAAAGTTTAGGCCCTTCTAATACAGCTTAACATATTCAGCCTATAACAACATGGAAAATAAATTTCAGCCTCTAACAATATAGAAATCTTACAACCTCTTTTTCTATTCCTATGCTATGATGGGGTTGTGAAATCTCAGTGGTTTTTAAAACACACGAAAACCCTGAATCTCTACCATTCCTCTAAGAGTCCCATTAACATCAACAACTGTTTATTAAACCTTACATAGCTGGAGTAATTTTATTATAAGTTCAAAACTATATAGAGTTTTATCTAGTAATGTTCAAATCATATTGATATATTAGATATTATATCCACTCCAATATATTATATATTATACTCACCTTATTATATCTAATTTACTATATCCAGATACAGTATGATAATAGACATTCTGATGAGACATTTATTCCACAAGTATTTTAGAGTTTACAGAACTAAATTAGGCACTTTGTTAACTCTATACCTCTTTAGAACAGGCAAATCCTTCATGATGTCTCCAACGAACTTATCAATTACAGCAGATGTCATAGGAATAAAACCCAAATTAGGCATCTTTTCCAAGGAGATTTCTAAAAACAAATATAAAATTAAATTGGGAGGAAATGCACAACTATCCTATAAGAATTTGAATGTTATTTTCAAAATTGCACAAACATAATATTTTGCATGAATTTTATTAATGTTTACCAAGTTAGCTCTTCTCAATGAGATATTCCTCACACCGAACATTTTGGAGCAAGACAGAATATAAAGAAATAGTACATAGCCATAAAGATAGGTAGGCATATAGATGGTTGCAGATAGGTCAATAGATAGACGGACAGACAGACATATAGGTTTTCCATTTCTAAATGCTTATTCTTTTTATTATTTCCTATGTCACTGTAAAGAAATGGCAGCTCTTGAAAAAACAGTCATGCAAAGTTCACCTACACATAGGCTTCCATGAAAACAAAATGACAAAAGAAATAGGAAAAAATTAATAATGAAATTGTTTTATCCATCACAGAATACTCTTCAGGGCTTCCTTGAATTTTTGTTTTCATAGTTCCTATATATGGCTTACATGCTGAATATGGTAATGGACTAATGGATTATTTTATTCAGATTTTTTCCTAACTATAGATGAAGAAAAATTATTATAATCTTTCTCCTTCCCTATCACCAAATTCTGGACAACATTCTTCTATTGATGCATACAAAATTCCCATTTGCATTCCTCTTGCATCTCTGACATTCCTTTGGGACAATTTCCCTCTCCCTGAATTACATTCTATACAAATATCTTTAATGAGCATGTGATGCTAGTTAACTCAGTTGTTGTGTATCTGCAAATATCTGTGTTATCTCCTCTTCTTAAACTTTTTCTGGGTACAATATCCTCCAATGACTGACTGGTATTTTTTCTCATTACTTAAAAGACACTAATTATTATCTTCTTGCTTCTGTTGTTGTTGTTGAGAAGTCTGCTGACAGTCTAATTTTTGTTCCTCTCTAGGTAACTGTTTTCTCTTTGATTCTCTGGAGAAATTTAATTTTGGTATGCTGCAGTTGCACTATGATATATCTAGTTGTGTTGGGGTGGGGGTATGTATCCTATGTGAGATTCACTGTGCATCCTGAATCCAAGTATTCATGTCTTTTGTCAATTCAGGAAAATTTTCAGTCATTATCTTTTTGGATATTGTTTACCCAATGTTGTTTCTATCTTCTGTTTTTGAAACTCCAGTTGAACATGTGACTGACCCTAGGTATCCAAAGGCTTAGAGAGATTGGAATGTTAGAGCATATTTATTACATAATATCTGCTCACCATCCCGTGAACGTGCAGAGGACACACCTTTACCACAACTGTGAGAAATAAACTGCAAGGGGAGCCTCAGCATCTTTGAATAGCTGCGGTTACTCTTCTCTGTAGGTCAGAAATTGTAATGGAAACTGCTTACCATTGAACTGGGATCCCTAAATGCAATGGGAATAATTGGATTCAGGGGTAGCAGGGGTGAAGTGGCAGCACTTAATCACCAAAGACAAGATAGTTGTGGGTACCATAATGGACAGTGGAATCAAAGCAGAATAGTCTGATTCACAGAGACTTAAAGCATTGGCTAGTTGACCATGGTATGTTCCTAGAAAAAAAACAGACATACTCAGCAACCAGCAGAATCCCCAATAGATGGGCAGCCTACTAAATTCTAAGTTGATCTGTATGAGTGGAGGAGTCCTAGGTTGAGTGAACAGAAGTCTAATGTGACTCACCAAAACAGAGAGTCATGGCTCCTCAATCAGTTCCCAGACTTATAACAGCATCTGATATTTTTAGCGACAGTGCCACGTATATGTACTTCCTTATAAGATAAATAAATCTCTATTTGAAATAATAAATACATCTGCATGCATACCTACACACTTTACAGACCCAGAAACCCTTGATTGAAGAGGAGGCCAAATCCTCTTGAGGGAGAGCCCTGCTACACTGCCAACAGTTACAGTGTTAATCTTTCTCCCAGTCTTCCCCAAAAGAACCTACAGTCATTTACCAAGGTGAAAGGGAAATAATCAGACTTTTCAAGGAGTTACTTCACATTCATTGTCATTCAGTTAATTGACATTAATTCCAGGACACTCAAAATATCACTGTGACCTATCAGTCAGAGTAGGGGCTTATGGAGGTCAGGTGCCTGATGGAGTTTTAGTTCAAGTCAATCTCACAGTGAGTCCCTGAACCCATCATGTGATTATTTCACCAGTTCCAGAATGCAAAATTGGAACAGACATACTCAGCAACCAGCAGAATCCCCCTATTGGTTCTCTGACCTATGGAGTGAGGACTATTATGTAAGACACTATAACTGTCTGTACTTAGAAAAATAGTAAACCAAAAGCAACTCCACATTCCCACAAGATTGCAGAGATTAGTACCACCATCAAAGACTTGAAAAATACAGGGTAGTGATTTTCATCACCTTCTCCTTCAATTCAACTATTTGGCCTATACAGAAAATGGATCTTAGAGATTGATAGTGGCCTATCATAAAATTTTCCATGTGGTAATTTCAATTACAGCTGCTGCTCCAGATGTAGTCTCATTGTTTGAACAAACAAGCACATCCTCTGACACCTGATATGCACCTATTGATCTTGCAAATGCTTTTTTCTCAATCCCTGCTAATAAAGACCACCGGAAGCAGTTTACTTTCAGCTGGCAAGGCCAGCAGTACACCTTCACTGTCCTACCTCCTGGGTATATCAATAATCCCGCTCTATGTCATAATTTAGTAGCCAGGGAATTTGATCACTTTTCTCTTCCACAAGACACCACACTGGTCCATTACACTGATGATATTATGCTGACTGGACCTAGTGAGTAAGAAGTAGAAACTACTCAACATACTGATAAGATATATTAAGATGTGGGACATATCAAGATATCCTTTCTAAGGTGAAGGACAAGTTGTTGCACTTGCCTCTCCTACAACCAAAAACAAGGCACAATGCTTACTGGGCCTCTTTGGAGTTTGGAGGCAATGTATTCTTCATTTAGGTGTGCTACGCTGGCCCATGTATTGAGTGACCTGAAAAGCTGCTAGTTTTGATTGGGGCCCAGAACAAAAGAAGGCTCTGGAACACATCCAAGCTGCTGTGAAAGCTGCTCTGACACTAGGACCATATAATCCAGCAGCTCCAATGGTGCTTGAAATATCAGTAAAAGATACAGATGCCATTTGAAGCCTTTGGCAGGTCCCTATGGGTGAATCACAGCATAGAACCTTAGGATTTTGGAGCAAAGTCCTGCCATCTCTGCAGAAAGTTACTCTCCTTTTGAGAAACAGCTTTTGATTTGCTACTGGGTCTTTAACAGAGACTAAATGCTTTACCATGGGCCACCAAGTTATGATGCAACCTGAGTTTCCCATCATGCCACAAAGCTGAGCATGCACAGCAGCACTCTTTTATCAAACAGAAGGGGTATATACAAGATCAGGCTAGAGCAGGACCTGAAGCTACAAGTAAGATACATAAGGGAGTGGCTGAAATGCCTATGACCCCTACTCCTGCTACATTACTTTCTCTCTCCCAGACTGATCCATGGCCTCATCTTAGTTCCCTACAACCAGCTGACTGAGGAACAGAAAAATCAGGCTTGGTTTAGAGATGGTTCTGCACAATATACAGGCACCACCTGAAAGTGAACACCTGTAGCATCACAGCCCCTTTCTGAGACATTCCTGAAGGATAGTAGCGAAGGAAAACCCTCCCAGTGGGCAAAACTTTGAGCAGTTAACCTGGTTGTTAATTTTGCTTGGAAAGAGTAATGGCCAGGGGTATAAATCTATACTGGTTCATAGGCTATGACTGATGGTTTGGCTGGATGGTCAGGGATTTGGAAGGAATATGATTGGAAAATTTGAGGTCTGTGGAAAAGGTATGCAGATAGGCCTCTCTGACTGGGCAAAACCATTAAGATATTTGTGTCCCATGCGAATGCTCACCAATGGGTGACCTCAGCAAAGGAGGATTTTAAAAATCAAGTGGATAGAATGACCCATTCTGTGGATCCCAGTCAACTTCTTTCCCCAGCCACTTCTGTAATTAGCCAATGGGCTTGTTAATAAAGTGGCCATCGTGCCAGAGATGGAGGTTATGCATGAATTCAGCAACATGGACTTCCGCTAACCATGACCACTTGGCTATAGCCACTGCTGAATACCCTATCTGTCAACAAGAGAGACCAATGCAGGGTCTCTGATATGGCACCATTCCACAGGTGACTGGCTAACCACCTGGTGGCAGGTAGCTGATTACATTGGACTGTTTCCACCATGGAGGGAGAATGCTCTGTTCTTATTGGAATAGACACTTACTCTGGATTGAGATATACCTGCATGCAATGCTTCTGTGAAAACTACCATCCTTGGGCTCACAGAATGCCTTTCCACCATCGTGGTATTTGACATAGTACTGCTTCTGATCAAGGAACTCACTTTACAGCAAATGAAGTATGCAATGGGCCCATGCTCATGGGATTCACTAGTCTTACTGTGTTCCCCATCATCTTGAAGCAACTAGCTCAACAGAATGGTCAAGTGCCCTTTTGAAGACGCAGTTATAGCACCAGCTAGATTGCAAAACCTTGAGAACTAGGGCAAGCTTCCCCAGTAGGCTGTATATGTTCTGAATCAGCATCCAGTACATGGAGCTGTTTCTCCCATAAATAGAATTCACAAATTCAGAATTCAAGGACTAGAAAGGAAATGGCTCCACTCACTATTACCCCTAGTGATCCACTAGCAAAATTTTTGCTTCCTGTTCCGGCAATCCTATGCTCTGCTTGTCTAGAGGTCTTAGTTCCAAAGGGAGGAACGTTTCTACCAGGAGACACAACGATTCCATTGAACTGGAAGTTGAGACTGTCATCCTCTCAGTTTGGGCTCCTCATACCTCTGAATCAACAGACAAAGAAGAGATTTACTGTGCTGGATGCTTTGATTGATCCTGATTACCAAGGGGAAACTGAATTGCTACTACACCATGGAGATAAGAAAGTATGTCTGGAATATGGGAGATCCCTTAGGGCATCTCTTAGTACTACCACGCCATGTGACTAAAGTCAATAGAAAACTAAAACAACTCAATTCAGACAGGACTCTAATGGTCCAGATTCTTCAGGAACAAAGGTTTGAGCCACCCATGTTATAGGTTTTATTGTGTTCCTCAAAAAGACATGTTCAAATCCTAACCCCCAGTACCTGTTAACATGACTTATTTTGAAATAGGGTCTTTGCAGATGTAACCAAGTTAAGATGAATTCAATTTAGATTACAGTGGGCCCTAATCCAATTACTTTTGTCCTTACAAGAAGAGAGAAATGTGGACACAGACACAGAAGAAACATACAGAAGAAAGAACACCATGTGAATATGGAGACAGAGATTGGAATGATGCACTTACAAGCCCAAAGAACATAAAGGCTTGCCAGCAATAATCAGAAGCTAAGAGAGAGGCATGGAATGGTTTTTATTTCTGAGTCTCCAAAAGGAACCAACCTTATAGATGCCTTGATTTCAGACTTTAGCCTCCAGAACCACGAGGGAATAAACTTCTGTTGTTTTAACCTACCAAGATTGTGGTACTTTGTTGTAGCAGCCCTACGAAATTAACACACCCCACTTGGCAAAGAACCATGACCAGCTGAGGTGCTTGCCAAGGGCAAAGAGAATATGGAATAGGGAATGGAAGAAGGTAGTCATACATACCAGTTACAATCATGTGAGCAGTTGCAGAAATGAGGATTATAATTGTTATGAGTATTTCTTCCTTATTTTGTTGTGAATAGGTTAAGCAAATATTCTTGTTTTCTTCCCTTATCAGTTTACATAAAACGTATTAATAAGAGTTAACTTTGTATCCCAGTATTTAAGTTGCAGGATATCAAAGCAGAAGAGTGAAAAATCACCCAAGAACTCTGCATCCTCTTCTGAGGAAAGTTAACATGTTCTTGGTTGTATGCAGGATAGTTGTATCCTGTTAGGCAGAAGTGTGACTTTGTTATTGTCTTTCTTTGGAGATTAAGTATGGTTTAAGAAAATGTGTATGGGTGCCAAGTTGATAACAGGTAGACTGTGATGGTCAGTTTTATGTGTCAAGTTCATTAGACTATAGTCTCCAGTTATTCAATCAAATATTAATCTAGACGTTGTGAAGGTATTTTGTAGATGTGGTTAAAGTCTATCATCAGTAAATCAATAAAACTAAATTGATTATAAATTTAGTTTACGTAAGGAAGGTTATCCTAGAGAATCCAGGTGGACCTGATCCAGTCAGTTCAAAGTCCTTAAGAGCAGATAAGTTTCCCTGAAGAACAAACTTCATGAACTGCAGCTTTAGCTCTAGCCTGAAAGTTCCGGCCCGCCCTTCCTTAAGGCCTGCCCTGCAGATCTTGGACTTGCTTAGCAAGCCCCTATGATCATGTAAGCCAATACCCTGAAATAAATCTCTTAATGTATTATATCCTACTGGTTCTGTTTCTCTGGTGGAACTCTAACTGATATACTCTCCAAATGGATCTTAGATTCAATTCAACCACAATCAACATGTCAGCAGATTATTGTAGAAATTACCAAGACAATTCTAAAATTTAAATAGAAATGCAAAGGACCCAGAATAAACTGAACAATCTTCAAAAGGACAAATTTGGAAGACTTACGCTATCAAAATCAAAGATTCTTACAAAGCTACAGTAATTAAGAATATTTTCATGTTGGTTCAAAAATAAACAAGGCTCAAGGACAGACCAACAAAACAGAATAGAGAGCAGAAATAACCTCTTCTTCATGCCATGCACAACAATAATTTCAAGATGAATCATAGTCTTAAATGTGAAATACTAATGACATTTTTTTAATGGGCAGAAGACTTAAGCAGGTACTTCACAAAAAAAGATATCCAAATGAGCAGTACGTAGTATATGAAAAGTCCCTCTATCTCATCATTCATCAAGGACATGCAAATTGAAATCATAATGAGCTCTCCCTATGCACCCATCAGAATGGCCAAAATTAAAAAGATGGATGATAACAAGTGTTCACAAGACCATCCCAATGCCCACGTTGATGGTGGGAGTTTAACTTGGTACAACCATCTTAGAAAATGTTTTGACAGTAGCAGTAGCTCCTAAAGCTGCACTTCTTTGTATAGACCCCAAAATAAATAAGTGCATATATCTACCTAAAATTCTGTATAAGAATGTTCAGAACAATTTTACTCATAATAGCCAATAACAAGGAAATGCTACAAATGGACAAATAAATTGTAGTATACTCAGACAAGGAGATACTTTGCAGCAATAATATTTTTTTTTAACATATGGTAAACACAACAATGGGCATGAATCTCTCATACATCATATTGAGAGGAAAAAACAGCTAAAAGGGTATGATCCCATTCAAATGAAGTTCAAAACAGACAAAGCCAAGAAATGGTATCAAAGTTAGAATAGTGTTTACTTTGAAGAGATCGGCGAGGGGGATAGGATGCACTGGGAAGTGGCATGAGGAAACTTTTCCATGAGGTGCTGGAAATGTTCTATATCTTCATCTGGACAGGTTACACATACAGATGTCTGTATGTGTAAAATCTCATCAGGCTTTACTCTTCATATTGGCTAACTTTAAGCACATTACTAGCGGTATTTTATACCTCAGTTAAGAAGTAAACAAAAATGCACAGTGAAAGAAAATTATTTATCATTGTAAGAATTGAATTAGTAGGGCTTCCGAAAATTTTGCAGAATAAATATGCTTTTATTCCAATTTAATCTGGTGATTTATTACCTTGGATTGGCAATAACTTCTTGCTAAGAAAACATGTTCTTGTTGTTCTCAGAGGAAAAGGCTTTCCAACATAAAATTCTTTAACCAGTTGTGACACAAAATTCCACAGATGTCTGTAATCACTCTTAATGAAATCTCCCAAATTCAAACGTAGCTCTGCATAATAATTAAAATATTAAAGTCTTAAAAGTCATACACATGCATGCACACACACAAACACCTTTTTTTGACTAAATTCACAGAGTTCTAGAAAGATTATCAAGTACTAGATGAAACTTAGAGTGAGTTCAACAGTACACCTGCATGAAAATGAGCAATGACACTATGGTAGTGTTTTTCTTTAAATCATTTTGTCTTCAAATTTAATAGTGGACTGTAACAATTACAATCCTGTTCCTTACTAAATAATGCTAATGATGAATATACAATTATTCCCTAAAATAATGAAGAACAAAATGCCACGTATAAGCTTGCAATTTTTAAAACTAAGTAATTAAGAAACAGATTTCTTGAGAGTTTACAGAATATATAGAGGATGAGAATTTTTTAAAAACTAGTAATGGTTGCTAAATTTTACGCAACTGGTTTATTCCAATGCTTGCCACCTAAGGGAATTAAATCTCAGAGATCAAAAAAAACTTCAATAATGTTCACTTAGGAAAAATATGTTCAAAATGTTTCACTATTATTTGAATATACAAAACCAGGCCAGATAATTTACTCTAAGAAAATAATTCAAAGAAAAACAAAACTTACATGTACCAAAATATTTAATGCAGCTGTACTTGTTTTTAGGAAAAATGAAATGAATCCTTAAACGTTCAAAAATAGTAAAAGGATTATATTAATTGCAGTAAGTATTATACAAAGTCATGCATCCATTTAAATGAAAAATACAACTATCAATATTATACCATAACATCAAATTCAATTTTTTGAATAATACCGAGTGAAGAGAAGGCAGAAAATGTAATAAGTATGTACACATACAAAAAAAAGTTTGCAAGATACAAAAATGTTGCTGTGGTATATATTGGAAAATTTAGAAGGGTTTTAAATAATTTCTGTTTACTTCTTATTTAATGATATAATGTTAATACATATTAAGGTACTACCTTGAGTATTTTCAGTTTCATAGTAAAAGGCAATATTCTTTAACAAATGCTCATCACATAAGTCAGAAAGAAGATTTAAATTCAGATTCCAACATTCAAAAATGTTCAGATTTCTCAAAATGAAATATTCACACCACTTTTTCTGAAAATTGAAAATATAACATTATTAGCAATAAAAAGATTAAAAATGAACTGAAACCAACTCCGAGAAAAGAGTTACCTACACTGTATTTTATAACTGTCCATTCATTGCTGAATATTCCAATGTAGATTCTGCACCCCACCACTCTACTGAAATAGCTCTTAATACAAATAATCACCTTTGACTTTCATGTCATTTAAAGTCACTGAATTTTCTCTCCTCAACATCCTTATGTTATCTGCAGAATTGGACACTATAAGCCATGGCTTCTTTTTTGAAATACCTGATTCATCTGACCTCTAAGATAACATATTCTCCTGGTTTTTCTACTTAACAGCTCCTTTTCAGTGACTTTTTCTAGTTCTTACACTTTCACTTGACCACTACATTCTGGACTATCTCAGGACTCCGAACGAAAATCTCTTCTCTTTTTACTCTGATTTTTCCCTATAAAAATGCATAACTGGCATCCTGTCCAGTATTAACCATAGGCTAATGAGGCCCTAATCTATTTCTGGCCCCAAACACATTTAAACTGCCTACTAGATAGCTCCTTTTGGAAGCCTCATTGCCACCATTTCAAACTCACTATTTCCCAAACTCATTATTTTCCTCCCCAAAATGTTCTTCTTCCAATGGCAGCATTCACAGTTGGTTGAGCTAGAAATCTGGAAATCATCTTTGACTCTTCCTTCTCCCTTATGCCTCATAACCAATAATTTAACCTTGTCAATTAGTTCCACAACCTAAATAACTCTTGCATTCTCCACTTCTATTTATTCTTATTGCTACCAACTTTCCCCATGTTACCCTCATCACTTACTTATGTAATCACCTAAGTGGTTTCCTCACCTCTACCCTTGGATGTCTATAATGCACTCTATGCACTACAGCAAAAAGAACTTTCAAGCAAAAATGTCAATTACAGCTTGAAACCCTTCCTAATTTCTCATTATCCTTATGATTCCTAAATCCCTCACAGAGCCAAAGAGTACTACAGGAGTTTTCTTCTACCTAGCTCTTCAGCCTCACCGTCTTTCCTCCTTTCTAGCCACCCTAAACACACCTCAGATCCTAGGGGATTGCACATGCTATTTCCTGTCTTGAAAAGCTTTTGTTCCTCTCTTCCTCTAGCTAACCAATCCTCATCCTTCAAACATTGGGCCACTTCACCTCTCTTCACTTCTTCAAAGAAGCCATCATAACCAGACTATTTAAATCTTTTCATCATTAGTTTCCAAAGCATCCTTTAGTTCCCTCCTTATATCCATTAGCACATTTGTAATCATTTTATTGGTTATTGTAACTATTCAATACCTGAATTCCCTGCAAACTGAAACTTCACGGAAGAAGAGTGGGGAGATGTGTTTGTATAGTGCATACGCACTGATTAAACATGTGTGGACCAGCTGCCTGACAGATTGGCTATAAAATACCTTTGATGACAACTTGACAATATGTATCAAGATCCTCAAATTTTCCAAGCCTTTTTGACCAATAATCCCATTCACCATTTTAGGAAATCTATTCTAAATATTTTATTCCAAATTAAAAAGAAAACCTTAAACATAAAACCTTTCAAGACCAGCAGCATTTACAATATAAAACCTGAAAATTATGCTAATGCCCCACAATAGGGTAGCTGTTATGTAAACTACAATACCATCACTCAAGGAATATCTAATAGCTATAAAAATTATGCTAAACAGGACTGTGAAAAAAACAGAAAAACCTTTAAAATAAAATAATACATAGTATATATATTATGGTTGCAGCCATATAAGAAACAATCACAAAAAATCTAAGCCCTAAAATAAAAGAATGGAAGAAATATAACCAAAATACTAATAGCATTGATTTGAGTGGTGGACTAGGAGTACATGTTATCTATTTTTCTTTAATTTTCAACTTTTCTTTCATATAAAGTGCTTTTATAATAAGCAGAAAAAAGAAATTCATAAATTGGTTCCCTAGTTCTTCTAAGAACAGTATACAATGTCAACCAATTTTCTGTGGTTGATAACACAAAAATATGATCTCAGAAGAAGGAAGAAAGAGGAAGGCTCTCATGCTTCCTTCAAACGGACATATTGTGGAAAAATGGAAGCTGTTGAAACTAGGACCTGATTGATTTATCAGCTAATTAGATTTGGCATTATTCCAATATAAATCTATTTTTAAAGGTGATCATGGTCTTTATCTCTCATGTCGAAACAAAAAATAAACTAACAGAAAGTACGATTACCATTTTTAAGAAAGTACAGACGTTCTTAATCCAAGGAGAGATGATGACTCGAGAACAAGCTCTCTGAGAAAGAGGTAAGCGGAGTTGAAAGGCCAGACAGAGACAATGCAGTCTACACAAATCTTCTGCCTCCTGCAGGGGTAGGCAATTACTGCTCACCTGCATAAAATAAAGAAAGTGAGCTAGAGAATAGCAGACTATGGAAAGAGCATATAAATAGGCAGCATCACAAAGTGGGCAGCCATGTGACTCCTGGAGAGGAGTCACATGTCCTCATACTCTTCAGACTACATTTTTAAGAAAGTCCTCTTCTTCATACATAAGCTGCATCTATACAGAAGAGGGGCAAGAGAGAGGGAAAACTCTTGCCTTAGCTCACATAAAGCATCTCTCAGGATTTTTAGTTAAGCTAAACTTTAAATGAGTTGATAGCAAAGGATGTCATTGACCCAGAGACCTGTGCATTTATGGAGCCCCACATAAAATGCTCTACCATTTCAGAGCATTAACAGTAATCTTGACAAAACTACGCCATGTTCACAGTGAGAAACCCAAGATGAAAACATATCTGAAAAGCATGTTAAATGAGAAATGGGAGAAGGAAATGGTCATGTTTAACTTCCGGTGGCAGATACTTCAAAACTATTTTCAAATATGTAAAGGGTTATCACATGGAAGGTAAATAAAACTTAATCTGAGTATCTCCAAGGGCAAAATTGGAGATAATAAATAGAAATTACAGAGAGATTGATTTGGCCTTGATATATTCATTTTTTTTATTAGAACCATTAAAAAAATCATGTGCTGTCATATGAAAAGTTTTCTCCAAAGGCATTTAAGCAAATACTGGAGGAGGATCAAATGAGATAGTGGGTCCTTTCCATCTCTGAAACTGTGTAAGAAAGAGGGAAAATAACCAAATATAAACTTAGGCAAGAAATCAAATTTTATACCCAGAATCCTAGGTTCCATGCTATTTCCACTTGCATCATGCTTCAACTCACAGCACATCTTCAGCATACCATAAAAGTGAATATATTAAGATAATCATAATATTTAAATATGCTCTTAAAAATCAGGAAATCATGCTGAATATTTTAGAGTCTCCTAAGAAAAAGGTTTTAAGTTCTGCATTTTTTGAGAGTTAATCTTCAAGTTTTTAGAAAACTAAACTATTCAAAACCATAATTTTAGAGGAATCTACATAGCTAGGATCTAATATATTATATGCTAATTAAAAATTTGGTGGTCCTGTGTCTCCTATCTTAAAAAGACTATTGCATAATAATTCAGAATCTGGGCTCTGGAAATAAGAGTGGCTCCAAATCTAGATTTGCCCTTCATTACTTCATTCAAGTCCTTCATTAAAGTCAAGACACTTTAAGAGTCAGTTCTCTTATGTGTAAAAGTCAGAAGTAACAATACGCTTTCTCAAAGGGTATTTATAAAAATTAAATGAGATCATACATGTAATAGAGCTAGAATATGCTCAACACATAGAAAGCCCTTGATAAGTGTTAGCTATTATTAGCTATTTCTTCATAATATCCCAGCTCTGTTAACTGAAAGCAGTTAGTTAGCACACGTTATACATTCAATAAATATTAGCTGATTCAATGAATAAATATGCCTTTTCAGTTAACTAAATAACCAAACTGCAACTCAATCAAATCTAAACAAAGGAAACAATCAAGAAGGAGTAAGCACAAAAAACTCACTGCAGTTTTCCTGTTCTCCGCTCTCCATGGTACCCCTAGCTTTTTCTTTGATTTTTTTGCTTGAGCAATTAGAAGGATGGTGCTGCCATTTACTGGGATGAGGAAGACCAAGGAAGGACCAGGTTTGAGGAGTCTGGTTCCAGATATCTTAAATTTCAGATGTTTACTACATATCCAAGTGCAAATGTTGAGTAGGCAATTGGATATATGTCTGGAGTTCTAGTAATTTCACAAAGACATTAAAATTGCCTTCCAAGGTATACATTATCGACTGGGTAAATGTGTCTATTTCTTCTCTCTACCCAAACCGCATAACATATTACCAAACACAAAGTAAATACTTAGTGAAAACATGCTGATAGATTTTTAAAATTGACAATCCCCTCCCATAGAATACTAACTCCTTGAGCCCTGTGAAGTCACCATTTTTTTTAGAATGGAGTTTTTTTTAGCCTAGCATACACCAATATCCAGACTGAGACAGCGTACAAAATTTTCTGTGTGTGTGTGTGTGTGCACATTCAAGCAGGAACGCATATTTAATAGAGAGAAAATCCAGGTTCATCAACAGATTCTTAAGGGGCCCTATGAGACAAAAATAATTTTTACAATTCAGCATCTCTCCAGCCTGGGTGACGCTAAAACACAGTAACAGAAATATTCTTTTAAGAAGGCAGTTTAACATAGTGGAACTGTCACAAGCCTTGAGGCCAACCATCCTGGTAAAAATCCAGGCTGCCTTTTACCCTGTGACTTTAGGTGTGTTACTAAAGTCTCAGAGTCTCAGTGTCCTGAAAGGGCAGAAGAAGGTAACAATACCTACACTGAAAAGTTGTTGCAAGGTTAAATAACATCAAATACATAAAGAGCCTGAAACACAGGTACCTAGTGGGTTCTCCACCAAAATTTGCTTCCTTTCTTCTTCCTTGCGTTCTCTAGTGAGAAGAATTAGGCTAGATCAGTTCTAAGTGAAACATCAGATAATATTTTTTGAACATTGTTTTCTGATAAAAACATGAAATTATATAACAATATTTCCTATAAACATTCTAATTTTTCCCTCTTTTAGTACTTAATACATATAAATTAGTCAGAGGGAGGAGCTAAATTCCAAATTCCAAGAAAATGGTAGTCAGAAGCCAAGAGTATTTCAAGAGTAGAGAACCCTGGTGTTGCCCAATGAAGTTATATCGGTCACACCTGATGAATGTTGGTTTCCTGACCAGAGGCTGTGTTCTTTTTATTTCCTAAAAAATGATAGTACATTTTCAAGGATAAGGAACATGAAGTAACACACACAACACGCCTGATGTCTGATCCTTCTGGCCACAGGTGCTGAAGCAGAGACATAGTCTGATATGCCTGTCAAAAAAGAAAAATTTTCTCATGTCAAATGACTTAGAAAGATTTTTTTACTCAGAAATATTCTTACTAGAAGAAAACACAAGGGCAAAATTTGTATAGATCTAATCACGTAGAACTCCAAGTAGTGGAATTATGGATATTCCTTACTACTTTTCTTTATTTTCCAAATTCTGTTATGCAAGTCACCTTTTTCCATTTGAGGATCAGAAAAAAGCAAAGAAGAGTTGCTTTTAGATAGCAATCCATAATGATAAACAATATTATAAAGCATCATTTGAGGAAGTATTGAGGAAATTAGATATGAGGTATAACTAATTTCTCACTTTGAATTTTTATATGGCAAATAATATCTTAGGGCTCTTCTCAATTAGAAAAATATGCAATAAAGAAGCAGATTATCACTGCACTAGCTGCCACAAATTTCTAGTTTGCCAGAGTCTGTATTAAAATATGGTTCCCAAAAATGAACATTAAATTGCATATGCCATCTGATCAATTCAAGGTACACTAAGAGCATGAATTCTTAGATTCAGATAGTATGCATGTACTAAGGAAGTATAAGGCAACCTTTCATCTTGACGACTCAAAATAGTTTCTCATATACCAAATTCCAGGAAACTTTTACTTAAAAAAATAAACACTTCAGTACCTCATCCATCATATCTTTCCATCTTAAACCCCCAAAGTGAGATGCTAATGCTAAAATCCTCCTTTCTTCCAAGTGTTGCACGAGGCTTTCATATGCACTCCAAATCACTGTTTCATTCTGCAAAACAGACAAAATCATATAAAAGATCGTAAATGAAATATCTGTCATTCCCAGCTACAAAAAAAATGAGATATTTGAATTCTTTACATGTTACAATGTACACTAACTAAAATCACCCTCATGAGTCTTTAGGACAATTTTGGTTAACCTCTGACAAACATGCATATGTCCTCTTTGTCAAATTAATTTTTATTTAAGAATATAATGGGTAGTTTTGGTATTATGACGTTTTCAAAAGTATAGAAAATAGTATGACCTCCGTCCACGTACCCATCACCCAGCCTCAACAATTAGCAACAAAAAGCCAATTGTAATGTTCATTCAGAGACTGATTTAAACAGTCCAAAGGGTGACTAATAAGATAACTTGTTTTAAGGAAGTGGCTATAGTCAATGAATTAGGAAAAAATTTTACAGAAAATAAAACCCTCAATTTAAAAAATAAAAAAGGTTATTCTTAAGAAGAGACCAAACAGGGTACTATTACCACATTTTTAAGAGTCATACTCTGGTATTTCTCAGACAAAATAGAGATTTACTGATAGCAGTACCTTCTCCCAACATGAAAATGAATTCTAAGTTTTAAAAAAAAATCTTGGAAATATTTTAATGACAGAAATAAAACTAAAGCAAATAACTAATCTAAAAGCATGACAACCATCCGCATGTCTCCAATTATCATGAAGGGTGTTTTTCAAAACACGATGAATTTTAATTGATTTTCACTACCATACTGCACATTTACAAGGAGATTTTCAAGCTCAAACAGAAAACAATGTGAGGTGACAATTCCCACAATTTGCTGCAATTAAGTAAAAACAAGAATTAGATTGAAAGACAATTTTTGATGAAATATTGAATGACTTCCATATAAGAATTCATTTTAAAATGTTAAAATTAAAAGAAAACTAGATTCACTCATAATATCATCAATGCATTTTTAACTCCCAAGTTTTATACAGCAATTGCCGTATAAACCTGTGTCAGATATACCAAAATAATAAGCATATCATGGAACTGAAATTCTAAAATGCTTTGAAAATTCTACAGACTTGATGACAATGTTAAGAAATGAAATAACCTCATTACTTCCTTCTTCATCAACCTTTCTCATTTCTCATTAAAGGCCCTCCACCTTTAATGTTAGCCACCTGAAATGTTAGCCACCATTTCAGTGCCTATCTTAAACACATGAACCTCTAAACAGATGGACCTCCAGGTAAACACATTGCTAGTTTTCTGTTATATGGGACACAGGATATCTCACGGGTTAAATACACAGAGGCTGGAGTCATATTTCTCTGTCGAAATCCATTGTCAATCTTTCATTAGGTACTTAACTTGAGCAAATTATTTCAATACTCCAAGTATTCTTTTACAGATGAGGTGATAATGCCATAAATAGATATGAATAGATGAATAGATATAATAATATCACATATCTCATAGGATGATTCTGAGAATTAAAAGAGATAATTCATGGAAAGGAACTAGCATCAGTGATTAATAAACACCTGTCATTATTATTTTTACCACTACTAAGTGTATTACCTCTTCTGAGCCTAACTATAGTAAGTTCCATAGAAAAGATGGAAAGAATATTGAGGTAAGTCATTTTGAGAATTAAAATAAAAAATCAGGACAAAACAATGAGAATTATTAATGTAAATTACCTCCTTAGAAAACTGTTTGTTTCTGCCTGTGCTTTGCATAACATATGCATGAAGTCTGAGAATATCAGATTCTTGCCCTGAGGAAAGCACAACATTGACTCCCATTTCCCAGGAGTGTATGATTAAGAAGTTAAAAAGGGACGTTTGTTGATCATTCAGGCCTTCCTCTGAAACTATCAGAAAATATGGATAAGCTCTTCCAAGAATAATTTCCAGTCTAGTGATAAGCATCTGGAAAACTCTGTTTGAACATCAATGCTAGTATTGTGTTGAAGATGGAGAATTAAAGCAGTTCTCAACGAAAGAAGTTCAGGAAAATCAAAATATGCACATTCAGCCTCCTGTGGTGAGAAAAAAAAATACGTTATTTTGAAATCTTCATTTAGTGGTTGTTAATTTTGTTAGAGAACAAAGGGATATAGTGTAGCCCAGCGATATAGTGCATATAGTGTAGGGGATATAGGGATAAAGTGTAGGGATATAGTGCAGCCCAGTGTAGCCCAATTGTTTTGTTCTGAATCATAGTCAAGGACTAGGCCCTTAATCCTTGACTATCATTTCACAAGTGTATGCCATAGGTCAAAATTTGGATTTAAATAAATTTGTCTTCTATATTTAAGCAGGCAAACACTACTTAGAGTACCTATCAATTTCATTTCTCACCTTCCAATTCTTTTACTCTCCAAGTTCAAAAGGGGATCAAAGTTGCAAGCAGATGGATATATTTTATCCAAAGTGGGAAGCTGATGTGGATCACTACTGATAGATAAAATGTAATGTTTCAAGTAATGTGTCTCCTCCTCTGTTTCAAGTAATGTGTCTCCTCCTTAAACAATGCAAGTCTTTAATCAGCATCAAAATTTCTATTTTTAAGTGAATTAGTCTAGATTGTCAATTACAAAAGAACCCTGACTTTTTTGTATACGTCAATTAGAACACTGCTTATACCCTTAATAACGTTATTAAAAAACAATCAAAAAAAAGACCCTATAAATAAAGATTGAACAGGTATACACCAGATTTAACAGTAAAACAATTGCTTCTGGGGGGTAGGATGGGGAAATTCTGTATTCGGATTGAGATTTGTTACAATTGGAATCCATTCAAATTGTAATTTTTAAAAGCCAAATATATTACCTTGTTGGGAATATTCAACATAAAGCAAATAACAAGAAGCATAGTGCCTCCATTGGATTTGCCATTCTACTGGGCTGTAAATAAAATCCCTGATTAGTTTTGAAGTCTGAAGTGCTTCCTTGAATTTAAGGATAGGAATCTAGAGAGTAAAAAGGCTGTTGATAAAATTTCCCCTCCTTCCTCATGTTCCTCGATGTCCTTAAAATAAACATTCATCATCACAAATAAAAATTAATTTTAGCTATCAACCACTTTTACTTAATGACATTTCCAGAACAATATATCTAAGAACAGCAGAATATATATTCTTTTCAAGAACACATGGTACATTCATCAAAATAGGCCATATATTGGGCCATAAAACAATCCCAATATTTTTAAATAACTGAAATTAGACAGAAATATTTTCTCTGACCACAACAGAATTACATTAGATGTCAGAATGATAACATATCTAGAAGAAAACAAGTACTTATACATTAAAATAACACTTCTAACAAATCCACTGTCAAGGAAGAATCACATGAGATATTACAAAATATTTCTAATTAAATGGTAAAGAAAAAACCAATAGATGCAAATTTGTGGTGTGCAGCTAAAGTAATGCTTAGCAGGAAATTTTAAATGTTCATAATAGAAAAAAAGAAAGCTTTTGACTAAAGCTTCCAATTTAAGAAGCGAGGGGGAAAAAAGAGTAAAAAGAAAAAAAACTCCAAGAGAAAGAAATAATAAAGATAAGAGTAGAAATCAATAAAATAAAATAAAAAAACAGACAAACAATGGAGAAAACAACAAAGCCAAAGCTGGGTCTTTGCAAACATCAACAGAATTGATAAACTTCTAAGAAGATTAATCAAGAAGATAAGAGAGAAGACACAAATCAGCAATACAAAGACTGAAAAATGGAATATTACTAAAAGTCTTCAGACATTTAAAGGAAAATATGAGAATATTGTAAACAATTTTATGCCAAAATATTAGACAATTTAGATAAGATGAACAAATTCCTTTATACATACAACTTACAAAATAAGAAGACTCAATATTGTCAAGACATCAGTTCTTCTCAATTTGATATTTAGATTCAAAATTATCCCAATCAAAACCCCAGCAAATTATTTTGTAGATATCAATTGATTCTAAAGTTTATATGGAGAGGCAAAAGACCCAGAGAGCCAACACAATATTGATGGAGAAGAACCAAACTGGAGAACTGACACTAGCTGACTTCAAGAAATACTATAAAACTACAGTAATCACAACAGTGTGTTGCTGGAAAAGAATAGACAAATAGATTAATGGAACAGAACAGAAAGCCCAGAAATAGACCTCCATAAATACAGTCAGCTGATTTTTGACAAAAGAGCAAAGGCATTACAATGAAGCAAAGATAGTCTTTTCAACAAATGGCGCTGGAACAACTGGACATCCACATGCCAAAAAAAAAATCTCTAGACGCAGACCTTACACCCTTCACAAAAACTAACTCAAAATGGATCACAGACCTAAATGTAGAATGCAAAACTATAAAACTCTTAGAAGAGAACATGAGAGAACACCTAGATGAACTTGGGTATGGCAATGACTTTTTTTTTTTGTGTGAGGAAGATCAGCCCTGAGCTAACATCCGTACTAATCCTCCTCTTTTTTTTTTTTGCTGAGGAAGACCGGCTCTGAGCTAACATCTATTGCCAATCCTCCTCCTTTTTGTTTTCCCCCCTTTTTCTCCCCAAAGCCCCAGTAGATAGTTGTATGTCATAGCTGCACATCCCTCCAGCCGCTGCACGTGGGACACGGCCCCAGCATGGTCGGGGAAGCAGCGCGTAGGTGCGCGCCCGGGATCCAAACCCGGGCCGCCAGCAGCGGAGCGCGCGCACTTAACCGCTAAGCCAGGGAGCCGGCCCTGGCAATGACTTTTGAGATACAACACCAAAGGCACAATCCATGAAATCATAATTGATCAGCTGGACTTCATGAAAATTAAAAACTTCTGCTCTGGGAAAGACAATGTCAAGGGAATGAGAGACAAGCCACAGAATGGGAGAAAATATCTGCAAAAGACACATCTGATAAAGGACTGTTATCCAAAATATACAGTGAACTCTTAAAACTCAATAATAAGAAACAAACAACTCAATAAAAGAAAATGAGCCAAAGACCTTAACAGATACCTCACCAAAGATGATATACAGATAGAAAATAAGTATATGAAAAGATGCTTCACATCTTATGTCATCAGGGAACTGCAAAATAAAACAACAAGATACTGCTACACACCTATTAGAATGGTCAAAACAAAAAACACTGACAACACCAAAAGCTGGTGAAGACATGGAGCAACAGGAACTCTCTTTCCTGGCGGGAATGCAAAATGGTACAGCCACTTCAGAAGACAGTTTGGTGGTTTCTCACAAAACAAATATACTGTTGCCATACGATTCAGCAATCATGCTTCTTGGTATTTACCCAAAGGAGCTGAAAACTTATGTCCACACAAAAACCTGCACACAGATGTTTATAGCAGCTTTATTCATCATTGTCAAAACATGGAAGCAACCAAGATGTCCTTCAGTAGGTGAAAAGATATAGAAACTGTGGTACATTCAGACAATGGAATATTATTCAACACTAAAAAGAAATGTGCTATCAAGCCATGAAAAGACATGGAGGAATCTTAAATGCTTATTACTGAGTGAAAGAGACCAATCTGAAAAAGGTATATCCTGTATGACTCCAACTATATGACATTCTGGAAAAGGCAACACTACAGAGAAAGTAAAAAGATCAATAATTGCCAAAAGTGCAGGGGGTGGGGAGAGATGAATGGGAAAAGAACAGAGGATTTTTAGGGCAGTGAAACTACTCTGTATGTATAATGGTGGATACATGTCATTACACATTTGTCCAAACCCATAGAATGTACAACACCGGAGTGAACCCAAATATAAACTATGGACTTTCGGTGATTATGATATGCCAACATAGGTTCATCAATTGTAACAAATGTACCACTCTGGTGGGGGATGTTGATAATGGGTGAGGCTGTGCATGTGTATGGGCAGGGGATATATGGGAAATCTCTGTACCTTCCTCTTAAGTTTGATGTGAACCTAAAACTGCTCTAAAAAAAAGCAAAGTCTTAACTAATAAAAAATGACATCTACCATCATGTATTACCTTGAAGAAAACTACGGCAAATTGTCCTCCATTACTCATAAGATCCACAAGATAGCATTCAACCAGGTAGAAGAAGTGGAGATTCTGTCCCTGCTTGAATGATTTCTCACATAGGCATGTGACAAGCAAGGAATCACCATCAATCACAAAAAAATTAGATTCAACAAAATCATTTAATAAACTGGAATACCTAAAATTAAAAACAGTTAAAATAAAGATTACAGATTACACAGTTTCCATGAGACATTGTTGCTATTGCTGTTGTGATGGTCGTTGTTATCATCAACAGCTACTATTTACCGAGTACTTATTTCATGCCAGGCAATTTGCTATGCCTTTTAAATATAATCTCATTTTGCCATTACTGCTGTCCTTCATAAGGAGATAAGACAATTACTATTTTATAATAAGGAAAATTAGGCTCAGAGAGGCAAAGCCATTTATTCAGTGCTAAATGACAGAGGCAGGATTTGAACAGGAGAACATCTGATTCTAAAGGCTGTTATTCCATGAGATACATCTCCCTGCTCCATAAACCTGATTGATTTAAGAAATAGTCTGGTCAGTGACAGCTATTGACAACTATAGGGAAAAGAATGCTTTCCCACCATCACTAAGCTGCTCCAAATAACTATATTGAATGATCACTTGTATGTATATCAGTTTATAGATTTGTGGGTACACAGAGCATAAAATTTCACAGCTCTTTATGTTTTATTTCAATGGTACTTACGTGGCTTTTGGCATTTCACTCAAAATTAACTTTGTCATTTTCCTGAAAAATACTACATGATCTTCTAATCCTAAAAAAAAAAAATGGATTGTTTTGAACCATGGGTACTTTTTTAATAGATATATAATTTAGTTATTATTAGGCAAAGGAGAGATGACAAGCCAATTAACTTTTAATACTACTGATAAAAGATTTTATAAAGTATAAACATCAAAGATTGACAATTACCCATTGTTGCTGCTACTTGAGTCGTAGAACAGAACCACAATTATTAAATAGGGCTAATGCCTTTTATTTTGACACCTCTAAGATGGCTATATTTGATGCAAATGGCACCCCTGGAATAAAAGAAGAAAAATAATAAATGCATTTATTCCTACAACAAAGAGAATGAACAAAAACAGGTATGGTAACAACCTTCACAGAGCAAACAATCTAGTGGACAAGGCAGATGTTAATCAAATAATTATACAAAAAATTTTAAATCAAAAATGTGACATGAGACACAGAGATCAATTCTTTAGTTCCCTAAAGAATTAATGCTTGAGCTGAGGTCTGAAGAATCAGTACTCCCTTATAGTTCATTTGTCCAAAAAAGGCAGTAAAAAGTATTCCTGGCAAAGACAACAGCATGGGCAAAGGCCCTGCGACAGGGGACAGTGTGGAAAGTACTAGATTCAGAAAAGTAGTGTGGCTGAAGCAGAGAGAGTGAGGAGTAAGGTTGTGTCAGATAAGGTTAGAGAAATAAGAGACTATGCAGCTTCTTTTAAGGATTGTTATGGTGTTTTGTCTTCCTCCTAAGAGCAAAGATAAGCCATTGATGGGTTTTAAGCTGGTTGTAACTTGATTATGCTTGCATTTGGAAAACATTACTCTGGCTTCCATTTGGAGAATAGATCAGATGGGGATGAGTGTAGAGGAAGCTGCCGAAATAGTCCTGGGGAAAGATAATGGTGGTTTGAGTTAATATGATGATATATCTACTTTTTACCAAGTATCATACTTGTTGCAAACTAAGCAAAAATGCACAGGCTTTACAGAGAAGCATATCAACCACTACAGTCTAATACACTGAACACTGACAGGATTAGCACAAAAAGCTATGGGAGCATTGAGCAGGAGTGCCATCATCAGACTAGAAGCATCAGTGAGCAGGTTCCAGACTTTGATTTTTAAAGGAAAAGTTGGAATGATGATGAAGAGCTGCAGGGAAGTTTTCGGGAAGGTAGGGGGAATTAGAGAATAGCATAAAGCAGGAAGTTTTTGCCTCTTACTCCACAGCAACTCTTGGTACTTTGCTAGCCCCAAAACCAACTGAGTTTTTTTTACCATGGTATATCAAGTGACTATACAATCAGAGATGCCTTTCAGGAGCTGAATGTCCTCAGACCTTTCAAATCACAAAGTCATGCAGGCACAACAATATCGATTGAATGATGGAAATGATACATTAAAGATCATGGCCAAACAGACCTGGTGGGCATAAGTGGGTTACACAACAGGAACCACTTGTCACGTACCTCTGTTGTTCTGATGCCTCTCTCTCAGCTCACACCTCTGGCCTCATATGGAGTTCCCTACATCTAGCTGATAAGAGAAGCGGAAAAGTCTGGGCCTGCTTCTTGGTTTGTCAGCTCAATATGTTATGGTAGACCAAAATAAACTGTTGCATGACCAGCCCAAATAGGGGTAACCCTGACAGACAATGGTGAGGGGAAACGCTCCAAGGAGAGGGCTCTGGCAGTACTTCTGGTCATCAACTGGATGTGTGGAAAGAAGTGGTTGGATGTAAATATATACACAGACACTTGAGCAGCAGCAAATAACTTGGCTGGTTGGTTAGGGGCCTGGAGGAAGCAAGGTTGAAAAATTGGAGACAAAAGTGTCTGGGGGAGACGTTTGTGGCTCAACCTATGAGAGTGGGCACAAACTATGCAGATCTCGTACCTCAAGTCCACATCCACAGGAGATCATCCATTACTTGGGAGCCTAAAGAACCAGGTGGACAGAATGATACATCCAGTAGATACCAGCCAATCTCTGTCTTCTGCCTCCTAGAGCTTGTACAATGGGCCATGAAACAGAGGAGTCATGGTGGCAATGATGGAGGCTATGCAGGTGCCCGACAGCCTGGGCACCCTTCCACAAAGCTGATTTAGCTACTCCCATTGCCAAATATCAGATCCATGACCTGAATATCAGCAGCAGAGACCTACGCAGAGCCATTGATATGGTACTACCCTTCAGGGAGACCAATCAGCCATTTGGTGACAAGTTGATTCCATCAAACCCCTTCCATGCTGAAGAAGGCAGCAATTGATCCTTATTGGGATTGATACATACTCTGGATATGGGCTTGCCTTCCCAGACAAAAAGCATGGGGAACTAATTACCCATAGTTTCACACTCAAAGCATCACTGATGGGATTCCACGTATACAATGTGGAATCACATTGTGAGATGCATATTCTACATTGGCTTCTAAAGTTTCCCAGCAGGTTTAAGCATTAGTGACCCACTGTGAAACTTGCTGCATGACCAAACTGTTATTGGCTGCCTTCTCTTTCCTATTTCTCCATCTGTTTACCAGCGACTTCTGGTAAGTTCTTGACTCCCAAAATAAGCGCTTGACCACTCCTGATCATTCCTAAAAGAAACCATTTGCATCCAAACTCTCACCTTGGGATCTGCTCCTGGGAGAACTCGTTTCCTCACTTCTCACTTCGCACTAGCCACACTGTTCTCCCTCGAGTTCTTCAAACTGCACCAAGCTCTTCCCCACCTCAGGACACTAATGTTTAAGGGACAAGTGGTGGTGGATGCATCATTGAAAACAGAACAGGAAACAGAAAACCAAGCCCAAGTGTATCACAGAATGGAAAGAGTTTCCAAAAAGGATAGTGGCAAACATCGCTAAGAAATAAAATAGGATTAGGACTCAAAACTGCCTCAGGATTGGTAAGTAGGAAGGAATTTATAGCCAAAGCAAGTATACTCTCTGTGAAATGGAGGGAACAGAAAGCAGAACGTATTTATTCAATAACTATTTATTGAGCATGTGCTATGTGCCAGGCACTGTGATTGGTGATAGGGATACAGTGCCACAGGAAACAAAGTAGTCTCTGTACTCAGGGAGTGGAAAAAAATAAACAAAAATTTATATATTTAAAAACTGTAATAAGTGCCAGGAAAAAAATAAGACAGCTATAAAGAATTAGACGGATTGTTAGAAAAGATACTTGCATGGAAGTGACATTTAACGAGACCTGAAGGAGAACACAGAGCAGCCACGAAAAGAGCCATGGAAAGAGCATTTCAGGAAGAAACTCAGAGTGCAGAGCACCTAAGTAGGCAAAAGTTTTGCCATCCTCTAGGAAATGACAGAAGTCTGCTGTAACAGGAGCGGGAGAACCAGCAGGTGACAGGAGGTGAGGTTGGAGAGTTAGGCCAGGGATGACTCATCAGGACAGGATAGGGAGCAGGAATTTCAGTCAGAGTTCAATGCATGGTGAACAGGGGAGTGACATCATCTGATTTACATTTTCAAAAGAGGACATTGGCTGTGCTTTGCAGGATGGCAGTATGGAGGACAAAACTGACAGTAAAAGAGAGACATTTTGAGGAGAAAGTAAAAGAGAGAACGCAGAGATGGTAAACATAATCTACTTTTTCATGAAGTTTGTTCCTTTAGGAAAGTATATAAATACAAACGTAGCTAGAGAAGAGTATAAAATCCATGCAGGTCTTTTTAAGATGGAAAAGACTTGAGCATGTTTTAGGCTTGGGAATCTGTGGAGAGACTGAAGACCCAGGGGAGAAAGGATAACAGACGAGGATTTTTAGTTCAAGATGGTGGGATGAAGGACACCTCTGCCTCCCTTTCCTCCCAAGATTTTATTGAAATTTCAGCAAATGTACTCATATGTTTAATATCATCTGCTCATAACCGTATAGGAAAATAAAAAGGAATTCCTGGACTATAGAAATAAAATTGGATAAAATTGGTGGAGAAATGGGAGAAGAGAAAATTATAGCCCTATAGTTCCCACAAGTGGCCATGCCCACTCCCAAAGGGACGTTTTAGAAATTTTTGCAGGTGATGCTGGAATTTATGGTGGGATACAGAAATAGTACATGTCTTGCAAGTCACAGATAGTTCCAACTGTGAACAATTTCCCTGCATTTTGCACAAATTTTGAAGGTCTTACTGGACATTCATGTAGGTGACAAATAAATTGGCAATTTTCTAAGCCTAGAATTAAACCCTATTTTACTTATAGACACAAAGTCTGTTTAAACAATTTTGGTATAATGGAGTTTATACAATCTTGTGTACATCAAAGAAGATTATTCTTTGTTTTATTTGGAATTTAACCCAAGAGTTGTTCACCATTTCAAAATATTATGACATCTACTATAAAGTTACTCATGGTATCTAAAACACCAATATAGTTCATTTGTAGCTGTTAAATTCACTATGATTCTAATATAAGTGAAGTGTATGAATACATCATTATTTCTTCTTGATTAGTCATGGTCAAAGATATCCATTATAGAAATTTATATAAATTATTTTTCAGATAATTCATTTCTGCTGATTTTTCAATTATGTGTGAGGGTCCTAAACACGTAATCTATGGGAGAGTTTCCCTAAAATATTCCACCCCAAACACACACTTAAGAAGCCATAATTAGCCTTTACTCTTATTTAAGGGAGAGACGGGTGAGGGAAACCCAAATCAGCCTTTTCACTAACCACTGCATTTTTTATTTATAATATGAATGTAAAAGTAAGGCTCATCAGACAGAAAACAAACATCAAAAATGAAGAAAAGCAAAATAAATAAACAGACTACAAAACACCTACCTCCTAAGAAAACAGAGATGATTTAGAGGCCAAAAGAGAACTTAAAATATTCCAACTAGTATTCTCATAGGGAATCAAAAAGATTTTGACTCTAAGAAACAGGAGTATGCTGCTATTAAAAGAAAAAATACAGGAACAACAAAGTGCTCTTGAAAATTAAAAGTTTGATTGCAGATAAAATATAAATTAGTTTGCTGAACAATAAAATAGAATCCCAAGTTAGTAAGCTAAGAGTCCAGAAATCTCCCAGAATACAGAGGAAAAGACAATGAGGTAGAAACAAGAGATGCATTAAAATACATGAAGAATAGATCAAAGTCTATAATCCACTTAACAGGAAATTCAGGAGGAAATAACTGGGATACCAGAATGAGTGGTAAAAGTAATCA